ACGGACGTCGAGCCTCCGGTTTGGTGGATCTTGCACGCCTTTCCGTCCTTCACTGCCATGGTGTTTTCCCATCTGGGAGATGCCTTTTGGGCTGCAACTTTTGGGAGGCCTTGGTTCGGGGCTCTACTGCCTGTGCGGGAGAGTATAAACATCCCTATTTTAACGGCTGGCTCTCGTGCTTGAAGTTCAGAAACCATAATTTTGAAGCGAGAGAAGCTGTAAAGACATGACATGATAGTTTAGCAGATACTACTATTATTCTACTGGAGGGATATTACTCATGACAGGGATATATACTGAGTATATTTGAATTTAATCACACCCTTGATTATGCGTGATAAAATACGGGGGTTGTGCGATGCTGGAGATACGATTCATCATGATTCATCAATGTTGTAGGATCACGACTGATATGATGGGGGTATAATGGGGATGCATCGGGATGCTATATACCAACCATGGTATGGGGTGGAGATTAATTCATTGCGTGTCACTTTGCCAAACCCACCTATGTATATGTACATATTATATATATATATGTTATCAATATATATATATATATTACATACGTTTACATGAATACATTTATATCTAGTTACTAGTTACATTTACATTTATATGAATATGTATATATATATATGAATACCGGGGCGGCGGCAGGGTCGGCAGCCCTTAAATCATTGGAGATGTTCTCAAGTGATTGTCAAATTGTTGACTCATGCTGACTCTAATTCACATTTATTTCAAAGAAATTCGGAATATTATGAATGATATTGAAATAATGCACTTCATGATGTGCTGAAAATTGCCCAGCGGAACAGGCCCATGACCATGCCATGGGACAAATAAATATGCTGATGGATGCTGATTCGACATTTATCTTGAGAAGATCAAGAGAAAAGAGGAATTTTGGGGAGGAATATCCTGTTCTGTTCCTCTAAGATTTCTAAGATTTCTAAGCCCATTCTGATGATTACCCTGCATTTGGCATTCTCACCATCACAATGCGGGAAATTCCATAAAATTCACCCTTTTATTAGAGTCAGAGTTCTCAAAGCAACTCTTGCTGTGGACACTGGGACCACCTACAGTGGGACTGCTAGGGTGTCAAAACCTAAAACAAATCATGAAGTGAAAGATTTTCATAGATCTCTGCAACCCGCACTACCAAACCACCACAGGACTTCTGATTCATACAGGTCTGGGCTGTTCAAGGGCGGCAGTTCTCTTGAAACGGCGAACTGGAACACAATCTGCTAGTGGAATGATCCAGAAGGGCAATGGTACAGCAATTTCCATTGCTACTGCGATGGTCCCTAATCGGTGCAGCCCTTCTCTCAAATCATTCCGACATGGTCGACTCATCTGCCACTGCGCGTCGCGAAAATGCGTGGCTGAGTGACCTTGGTGGAACTTGACACCGGCCCTTGCCCCAAATGAATTCCACCCATGGCCGGGGCCTCCTGGCTAACGTCCAAGAAGTGTGGCCTGCTGATTGCGCGATCTCATCATGTCCTGAGCGAAAAGGATTCGTTGAAACGGCGCCCGCACAGCATCCATCGCATCCGCCGGCACCAAAGGCGCGGAGGCTAAGACCGCGAAGACAAATACAAGGGGGGAAAAAAGTAAAAGAAAAGACACATCAAGAAACCTCAAGAAACGTCGAGAAACCTCAAGAAACGTCAAGAAACATCAAGAAACATCCAGAAACATCAAGAAACGTCAAGAAACGTCAACAAAACATCCAAAAACGTCAAGAAACATCAAGAAACATCAAGAAACCTCAAGAAACCTCAAGAACCCTCAAGAAACCACAAGAAAGCTCAAGAAACATCAAGAAACATCCATAATTCATCAAGAAACATCAAGAAACATCAAGAAACATCCAGAAACAGTAAGAAACATCAAGAAACATCCAGAAACATCAAGAAACAGCAAGAAACATCCAGAAACATCAAGAAACATCCAGAAGCATCAAGAAACCTCAAGAAACGTCAAGAAACATCAAGAAACATCAAGAAAGTCAAGAAACCTCAAGAAACGTCAAGAAACATCAAGAAACATCAAGAAACATCAAGAAACCTCAAGAAACCTCAAGAATCCTCAAGAAACCACAAGAAAGCTCAAGAAATGTCAAGAAACGTCAAGAAACATCAAGAAACGTCAAGAAACACCCAGAAACGTCAAGAAACGTCAACAAAACATCCAAAATCGTCAAGAAACATCAAGAAACATCAAGAAACCTCAAGAAACCTCAAGAATCCTCAAGAAACCACAAGAAAGCTCAAGAAATGTCAAGAAACGTCAAGAAACATCAAGAAACGTCAAGAAACGTCAAGAAACATCCAGAAACGTCAAGAAACATCAAGAAACATCCAGAAACATCCAGAAACATCAAGAAACATCCAGAAGCATCAAGAAACCTCAAGAAACGTCAAGAAACATCAAGAAACATCAAGAACGTCAAGAAACCTCAAGAAACGTCAAGAAACATCAAGAAACATCAAGAAACATCAAGAAACCTCAAGAAACCTCAAGAACCCTCAAGAAACCACAAGAAAGCTCAAGAAACATCAAGAAACATCCATAATTCATCAAGAAACATCAAGAAACATCCAGAAACAGTAAGAAACATCAAGAAACATCCAGAAACATCAAGAAACAGCAAGAAACATCCAGAAACAGCCAGAAACGTCAAGAAATATCAAGAAACATCAAGAAACGTCAAGAAACGTCAAGAAACATCAAGAAACATCCAGAAACATCAAGAAACATCAAGAAACGTAAAGAAATGTCAAGAAACGTCAAGAAACATCAAGAAACATCCAGAAACGTCAATAAACATCAAGAAATATCCAGAAACATCAAGAAACCTCAAGAAACCTCAAGAAACCGCAAGAATCCTCAAGAAACCTCAAGAAAGCTCAAGAGAAGTCAAGAAACCTCAAGAAACGTCAAGAAACATCCAGAAACATCAAGAAACCTCAAGAAACATCCAGAAACATCAAGAAATATCCAGAAACGTCAAGAAACATCAAGAAACATCCAGAAACATCTAGAAACAGCAACAAACGTCCAGAAACCTCAAGAAACATCAAGAAACATCCAGAAACATCCAGAAACATCAAGAAACATCAAGAAACGTCAAGAAACATCAAGAAACGTCAAGAAACATCCAGAAACATCAAGAAACATCCAGAAACATCCAGAAACATCAAGAAACATCCAGAAACGTCAAGAAACATCAAGAATCTCCAGAAACGTTAAGAGACATCCAGAAATGTCAAGAAACATCAAGAAACATCCAGAAACAGAAACATCCAGAAACATCAAGAAACCTCAAGAAACCTCAAGAAGCCTCAAAAATCCTCAAGAAACCTCAAGAAAGCTCAAGAAAGGTCAAGAAACATCAAGAAACATCAAGAGGTCTCAAGAAACCTCAAGAAACCTCAAGAAGCTCAAGAAACGTCAAGAAGCGTCAAGAAACGGCAAGGTACATCAAGAAACACCCAGAATTCATCAAGAGACATCAAGAAACATCAAGAAACATCCAAAAACAGCAAGAAACATCAAGAAACATCCAGAAACATCAAGAAACAGCAAGAAACGTCAAGAAACGTCCAGAAACATCAAGAAACAGCAAGAAACATCCAGAAACGTCAAGAAACATCAAGAAACATCCAGAAACGTCAAGAAACATCCAGAAACATCCAGAAACATCAAGAAACATCAAGAAAGGTCAAGAAATATCAAGAAACATCCAGAAACGTCAAGAAACATCAAGAAACATCCAGAAATGTCAAGAAACATCAAGAAACATCCAGAAACGTCAAGAAACATCAAGAAACATCCAGAAACATCAAGAAACATCCAGAAACGTCAAGAAACATCAAGAAACATCCAGAAACGTCAAGAAACATCAAGAAACATCCAGAAACGTCAAGAAACATCAAGAACATTACAAAACAAATCAACTCTGGCCTTCTTTCCTTGTACGTAGGCACCTTGACGGGCAGGATAGTCATCCTGGCATGTCATCGGTCCGGTCCCCCCACAGCTAATCTTCCCATCTGAGGAGATGAGGACCCAAGAAAAAACAATAAACATCAATAAACTGTCTACATCTGCTGCTAACAATGCAAAAACTGCCATACCTCCCAAGTTGACCAAATAAATGAAATAAATCAGCGGAGTCTTCCAAAGAGCTTCATGACTCCATGGCTCACATGTCAGGCTCACATCCATCAACTGGAAGGGAGCAGCACCCTCTGCCTCAGCTGACCAGCGATTTGTCGCTGGGAATCGCCGAGGCGCTGAGATCTGAACCCTTTGGTTGATGTTGCTCATGATGTGGTTCAAGGCATCCTCCGATCACTTTCAAGTCAGATCAGAAAGCTGGGCTGCGGGAAAATAGCAAAAATGGGAAAAGTGCTTGACGCTGCCAAGAACAGAAGTGTTGGACCTCCTCACAATTGCGACCACTATGCCAAATGAACGGGTTCCACGGTATCTGTCTACTCAAAAGAGCTGGGATATGTGACTCGTGACAGTGCCGATGTATTATGTACTGTTGCTTTTCCATCAAGGGGGACTGCCTGATGGCGCCTGCATTGCAATTCCAAACCTGTTTCCAAGTGAAGCAATCCCCCCGAAAAACCAGTCCTTCCCCTTCTTGAACTCAGCTTTGACCTGGCTGATAAGTCAAGCTGAGGGTTGAGGTGACACGGACATAACAAAGGAAAATTACCAAACAGTGTCCACGACTCCTGCAACGAACTTCCCAGCGGCAATTCCATTCGCTTCCCCCTGTCAGCTACGCTTTTCAAATCGAAGGCTGCAAGATCTATTGTCCTGCTGCGCCTTTCAAGCGATGCTGGGCTGTTTTCGGTCCCCCTCTGGGAGAGCCTCGATTCTCTTGGACTGGGCACACTTGACCGCTTGAAATGGCCGAAGCAACCGGCAGACCGCCGCTGTCATCCTGGGGCCAAATCTGTCCAAATCTACTGGGCGCAGCGCAGGCCAATGTGATGCGCGGTGCTATCAGCAGTCAGATGATGCCGAGCACAGTTGCGGTATCTCCAGCCTTAGCGCTGCTGTCATAGCTCAGGGCTTCAGGCAGGGGATAGTTCCCAAATCGCGACCTGCACCTTGTTTGATGAATATGTCCAGGGTAGGTACCCCGATGAAATCAGCACTTGAGACTGTCATTTGTTTGCAAGCGAGGCGCAGTAAGAGTGATGGCACATGAAGGAGCCGCCTTTTTTTATCTTTTCCTTTGGCAAGCAGCGGCTTGCTGTTACAATTTTTCAAATCCGACACGGCAATGGAAAATCCCCCCTCCTGGTAGATGAATTGCCTATGGAAAAATTGTAATGTGCCATTGGCCTGTCTGGAAACCCAGAGCGTGCGCCATTTTTTTGTCATCCATGGAATTGCTGGTCCGAGATACAAAGGCTCCCGAAGCATCTTTCTTCAAGTAACCCATCTCTACCTCGAGCAACTGGGGTTGGAGTCAGATATTGTTTCAAAAAAAATGGAACTTGCATGACATTGGGTGCCTTTTTTCCTTCCATTGGAAACTTGATCAGAAACAGCAATGAGATTATAATTTCAATCGGTGTCCATCCCGATCCTCACTCCCAGTTGTTTAAAAAAAAAAGTTGCCGGAAAAAGATCATCTCCGACAGAAATTGGGTGAATTGTTTCAAGTACTTCATGAATCCTAGTGACACTTAATGACATTAATATACATTAATGATCATTATCCAGCTGAAGCACCAAATCTACCAGGACTTCCCACCATTTTTGGGGAGGGACCAGCTGTTCCAGGTCCTCAACGCTGGGACCAGTGGGGTCCACGAAGCCAATCTGTTGATTTTCTTCGGTCAAGAAATGCACTGGGCTGAACCAATCGCTGGTCCATTCCCACACATTGCCCACCATGTTGTATAAACCCCAATCCTGGGCTCAGCTGAAGCGCAACTTGCGAAAAAGTGAAAAAGTGAATGATTTTCTGAACTCTTGGCTGGCAAGGATGTTTGCAAAAATAAATAACTAGTAATTGGATCGGAGAAACTTCAAGCATCTCAAGCCAGTCGGATGGACCCTCCCACGGATTCCGACTACGTAGTTGCCAACGTTACAACCAAACCTGGACAAAGATCACCGAGTGCCATATTGATGTATAGTGTCAACCCCGGATTGATATACGGCTCGGCTATTTGATTCCGAGGGTGCCCTTTTGTTAGCTAGCAGACTATTGGCGACCCCCTTGCTCTCAAGATCCTCAGCACCAGCGTCATTTTGAGGACCAAAAGCATCGACTGGAGCAGTTTTGATGTAGCCATCTTCTGCTGTGTTCAGAGTGGGGAATTCCCCTTGCCAAATGTTCATCCTGCCAGGTGATGTCACGCATCCAAGCTCCTGGTCAAAAGAGGTCAGCCCAGCCTGAATCTTCCATCATCGCTCTCGTTGCCATACCTGTCGCCACAATCCCAGTGGAATTCCAACGCCTATTGGCCAAATGATCATCATTCCAACATCATTTACCAATTCACCACGATGTGAATTGGAAAACATGGCGCCATTCCGCCCAGTCACATGCTGTCGCCCCAAGGGTAGTACATTCCTTCCAGGCCGCCACGAGAAGCGTATTCCCATTGGGCCTGTAACGGAAGCCGCGTTTTTTCTTCCCATCAACTGGAAAAAACATCATGAATGGATGTTTTAATGGGGAATCATGGGGATATGATGCTGATATAATGGTGGTAAATGGAGTATAAATCGGTATAAATGATATTGATACATATCATTGATAATCAACTTAAATCTTCATCTCTGAAGCTTGCCCTGAAGCCGCCTCCGTGGGAAGGGTTGCATTTCGCCAGCTGCAATAAGCATAGGCATCGTTCCTTGGAATCTCGTACTGTACACTTGGACCTCCGGTCGAATCTCCCTGCTAGAGATTTTCTTGAGAAGGGGGCACACTGCACAAACACCGTCCCTTTATGTTTTTCACAATATCTTTGTCAGATTTTGTCAGCATTAGTCTCACTCGTTATCTGCGACAAACTTCAAAGCTTTCTCCAGTCATTGGATTGAGGGAAAATCTGCAGGAAACCATGGTTTTTACCATTAAATATGGAGGTTTCCTGTAAATTTTCCCATCATCCAATTCTATGACTTTCTGCTCCAAGTCACCACGAGATATGAACTGCAGGATGATCCCAGCGGTTTCCATAGCGGCTCCGGGGCGACTCCAGGCCGCTGTCCAAGCCTTCGGGCTGACGCCACGAGGCATTCGGCACCGGGAGCCACCAGGGGACTGCATCCACCTGGCGTTGCTTGGGGTTGGGGCTAGTGTTTTTCTGGTTGGTGGTTTCAACCCCTCTGAAAAATATTAGTCAGTTGGGATGATTATTCCCAGTATATGGAAAAATAAAAAATGTTCCAAACCACCAACCAGTTTTTTCATGAGCTTCCTGAAATATCTGAAATGGGGGGATAATTTCAAATCAACCAGTTCCGATTTTCCATGAAATAATCAGAAATAATCAAAAATAATCAGAAATAATCAGAAATAATCTACAAATTGGGGTACCCCCATGGAACCCCCATGAACCCCCTGGCATGGCACCTTTTTGTCGATGGTCCCCAGCACCTTTTCCGACAGATACAGCTCCGCCACGAAGGAATCCCCTAGGCGCTCGGCGTCGGTGACGTAGCCCGTCTCCGCCACGAAGTCCTGGAACTTCGCGTTGCCTGGGACCAAAGAATTGCAACTTTGGTACCTCGAAGAATTTGGTACCAAAGTACCCAAAGTTTAGACTTCTATAACCAAGAATTGATTTTGAGCAACCCAAAAAGTGGGGAGATGTGGGGACATCGGTGCAAAATGATCTATGCTATGTTTCCCATCAGTTTTTTTTGGAGTTAGTAGTCTGTTTAAATGATGATGGAGGTTAAAGCCAAAAATGCCAAAAATTAGACTTAGTACCCCATTGTGATGATTGCACCCAGTGGTGCAATCTAGGCTGGAAAGTGCGGCATTTACAAATGATGTTGCATAATTTTACATAATTTTGCTATTCAACACTGGGATTGTCCCTTGCAATGTTGAATTCCCAAAAGGCAATGCTACTCTGCAGCCACGGATGGGCGCAGGAAATATGAGATGATATGAAATAAAAGCCGTGCCAAAAGCGACAACATCAATTTCTGTCCCTGGCCAACCACAAGCTGCAAGCGTTCAAAGAGCCACCACAACTGCAGGCTGCCCCCAAACTGCAACCAGATGCGGGCGAGGGTCTGACTTCGAATTGATCCAAGCGGAAGGCAGACATGCGGACGGGCCGGACAGGCCCCTCACCATCCTCACAGGGCCACGGCAAAGCTCACCTTTGTGAAGGCCGGTTGGCATTTAGGTTGGCAAAGTTCACCATGTTTTAAAGCCAAATTGGATACCCTCTGGTAATTTAACATAGCTATTGAAAATGGCCATTTATAGTGGATTTTCCCATTAAAAATTGTGATTTTCCATAGTTATGTTAGTTTACCAGAGGGTAGCTTCAAGCATCAAGGTGAAAATGCCCTGGTAAGACGGACCCGTGACGACCGGCAATGACCGGTGATGACCAGTGGCCCAAGTTTTCCCATCCAGTCACCCAGGGTCACCCAGTCCTGTGGAAAATGGACGCGTTCTTTGCGGTCGCCCATGAGAAAAGCACCTCTTGGAATCTCCACCATCTCTGAGTTGTGCCTGCCAGGTCAAAAGTCTGTGGTCCCACGGCAGTTCCAGCTCTGGGGGCTCACAATCCTTCCATTATTAGTGGATTAAAATTATGATCATCATCCAATTTTATCCAAAGAAATGCCACAAGTCTTTTCTAGGATGCAACATATGCTTCAACATATGTTTAACAATAGTTCAACCACCAACCAGCATTGCCATATCATTGGGAACCACCACCGCCTCTCGGCCACTTCTGATGGGGCTGACCACTCGGATGGGCTCGCCACGGTTCCTCCACGACTCAACGACCCACAGCCGCACTCCTCCGCCAGTGACATCCGACCCATCGCAATGATCAAAAGATCCCACACCGGTTGGGAAGATTTTGGCTACAATTAAAAGTTTCTCCGTGTCACCTTGTTGCCGCATATCAATTGCAAGTGCTTGATGTTCCTGCGAAGCTTTCTTGACCAATTATATACAAAATTGATAAAAATGTGCTGAAGTCGATCAATCAAAATGTATAAATCACCCCTCCGAAATCCCACGCCTTGGGTTCGCTGGTGTCCTTCTGGCACTTCCGATCCTCTCAAGTGCACAATTTTTGGACAAACATGTACAAGATCCGCAAGATCATCTGGGTCATTGCCAATTTTTTCCAGCTCTGCCTAAAGACATGATCAAAATGTCCAAATTGCCCAGTCGGCAGAAAGATACATGGCCCCGGAGGGCCGTGTCGTGGTGTCTTGTCTCCCACCTGCGCGGCACACTCCTCCACTGCAAGTCCGGTGAGGCTCCCTTCGAGCAGCAAAGCTGGACGAAACTTGGAATGGGTGCCTAAGAATAGTCAAATCATGTCAAATCGGATGGGAAATGGTGGGACACTTTTTACCTCAACACTTCTTAACACCTCTTGACACCTACTTGGTGTAGTGTACGTAGCCAATTGCCAACGGGATCATCACCCGCCACACGAATCTAATCTGTGGATCAGCAGTTTGCTGTGCCTGTGAGGTAGAGCCATGGCAAGGCGGCGCGGATGGCTCGGATGGCTCGCACAGGCATGTCTTCAAATGTTTAAAGCAGTGTCTTTTGAAGGAGGCTACCACTATCTGTACCATTGCATATATATATATACATACATATATATATTAATGATGATGAAGACATGTATATATATATATATATGTATACAGGTAATAGATCAAACAATAGATTCAATAGATCAAACAATGCCACCCAAAACTTGCGCAGATGTTGTACGTTTGGGTCTTGCCACGGTTGATGGTAGAGTAAAATACCCGTGCATCTCGAGGGGGCTCCGGAATCCCGCAATGAACCGTGAAGGGATGATAGTGTTCTTGCATTTTGTGAAGGTGCCCGTCGTTGGCTATGTTGGCTAGCGGCTAGAATCGGCTAGAACCCTTCAGACTCTGACGCCGTCACCGTGAGGCATCACATCCCAAAAACTGTCTGGACCGTGATCATTCTACTAGATTCTACTGTTGAACACTTTCTCAATCCAAGGGAGGATTTTGGGGACGTTTTTTCAGCTGATGATTTCCCTGCTGACCACATCCTTTGATCAAAGTCACTGGGCTCACAGATGGGAACCCCGAAAAATGATTGATCAACGGATGCAACTGACGGTAACTGACGATTTCGATCGGAGGCGAGACCGTGCCCCTCCCATGGTCACCGTCTTCCAGTCGTTGGAGCCCACGGAGTCACTCATGGCGGTCACTGCCTGGGCTACAGGTGACTGGGAAAGAACGGGCTCTCCACCGAAGTGAGGATGTGCCAACAAACGTTATATCGAATTATCTGCCACCTGTAGTGCTGTAGTTTTTTCGGGCTACCAGGCTAAAGGGTAGGGAAACCTAAATCCCACTTTTGGGGGGATATGTGGATCTTCCGCAGGATTCAAGTTCCCAACCGCTCGCCTTCTGAAAGTTTCGGATATCCTCAGTCCAACCATCTTCATCCGCCTCGATGTTGGCACTCGCCAGCCTCAGGGAGGTGCGTTGCGGGAGCCTCGGCTGTGAGAAACTTTGGAACTGGGTTGCTGACTGATTGAAAGGAAAGGTGATCTCGGAATCCAATGGCGACCTCGACTCGGCAGTGCTGGGAGTTTTTTGTAAGATGTTGTAAGCCACAGCCTCCCACGCCATATGCCAAGGTACACGTACGAACCTTCAGCTGACGAGCCCAAGGCTTTTCGACATTGGCCCAAATCCTGCGGCCGCAAATCATAAGAAATTAATAGGAACTACATCTCCCTTCCCAGTGATGCTGTCCCCTCAGTGTTACTGGCATCCACTCAAGTCTCTTGGCAAAAACATATCATGTAATCATCTATTACATACTTTAGTTCCTACGTCTGAAAAAAAAAAGTGAATTTGGTGCTGAACCCCAGATATCTTCGTTGGTTATAAGATAGGTTAACGCTATCTTCGCTTAAACTTGAGCTCCTACGTCCCCAAAACAGCGAAGCAACACGTTTCGTATATCTTCGCTTGTTGCTTCTCACCCCCCAGCGCATCCAACGGCCACCATGGCCCCGTTGTGGTTCTTTTTTCGGCGTCACCGTCGGGCCGGGGCCCCACCACGTTGCCGCAAGTTCCGAAGCATGGCTTTGGCCTCGTCCTGGGTAATGGCTGTGCAGTAATAAATACTGGTAATGAAGGCAATAATGATAATAGTGATCATCATCATCATCATCATCATCGTCCTCATCATCGTCATCATCATCATCATCATTGTTGAAATCAAGTGTACAACTTCCCTGCCCTGTCTGTAATCTCAGCAGCTGTAGCCCACGCGCTGTACTTTTCACTAACTCAGGGTAACGCTCAAGGCTAACTCAAGGGCCCTGTATGGAGCCCAAATGTATCGTACCATGACATGTACTCAGAGTAGACCAACATGTTGTATCAGCAACTGTATAGCTCATGTACATGTGCAGGTGTATTCTTAACACCCTGCCTCAACTGCAACATGTACTTCACAAACATTGAAAGAATCATTGTATAACTGAACTGTATTAAATCATGTAAGACATCAGTCATCTGTACAAAACTTTGCCTTCGAAAATCCTGTACATCGATCGAAAACGTAGTGCCGTGTTGATGTACAGACATCTTGTAGCCAGAATTGTGTCAGAGGGATGTATCCATGCAGAGTTACTCACATGTAGTCAGAAACCGTTGTAAGAAAACTGTAGCAGTATCCAACCATGTACTTCACAAATTCAGCCTTGTAGAGCTCGTCACCATTGTAGATCAGGATGTACCCAAGGCGGTCTCGGGTGTAGCTCCTGGCAATGTAGCTGGAGATGTAGATTCTGAAATCTTGGCCTGTAGCTTGTCCCGTGTATCTTGTGAACCAAGATTTTCATGTTCATCGAAGTTCTCCTTCACGTGTATGGTGAACTGAGCTGTGTACTGCAGCAATCCATGCTGTACATCAGCGGGCATGTATCTGGACAATGCCGTGCCTGCATGATGTAATGCCATAGTCAAAGCTGCATGTACTGGGTCAGCCGCTGGTCTGCCCAAAACATGTTGTACATCCAAGGGAATGTACTGGTTCCACACATAGCCACGGGTGTAGCTGTACTGCTGTAGGATCCTCATCCAATCCACAGTGATGCGTAGTACCCTTTGTGAGCCATGTTTTGTAGCGTTGAAAATGTATCGCTGCAAAACTTGTACTGCAAAAAGAACTGAAGTGAAAACCATCATGTAACCCTTGGGGTGAATGATGTAGTGAAAGATGAGGTGATCATGTACGTGCCAAAATGTATCACGATGACCATGTACCCCTTAAGGTAAACATACGTGTACATGATATACTCAATCAAGTAGGCTGCAGATACGTGTACACTTGTTGTGTTCGTATGCTGGTGTGTGAAACTGCTGTAGCTGGATTCTCCTCAATTGTCTGGCGGACGTATGCCCGCAGCATGTAAGTGCCATTGAAGCACTTCTCGTTGCACGTATTTTGTAAGTATGTCTGACGGATTGTGTTTGGTGTTGATTTTGTGTATGGAAAGGATGCCGTCGTGAATGAGGTGTTGTATGAACATGTATTTGAGTTCGATGTGTTTGGCTCGCTTGGACACGCCAATGCGTGTAGCCATGCTTTTGCCTGATGTGCTGTCAGTGTGTATTTTGAGGCTGATCTTGTTGTGTAGGATCTCTCCCAAGAAGTTCTTGAGGTGCAATGCCTCTGTAGCACCTGTACCAATCGCGTAGAACTCGCTTTCTGCTGAAGAAAGTGCTACTACGGATTGTGTACGTGAACCGAAGTGGACTGTAGTCCCAAGGAATTGGATCACGAAGCCAGATGTACTTTTGCGTGTAACCTGGCATCCTGCCCAGTCTGCATCTGTGTAGACTGTCAGGTCGAGCTGTTCCTTGTTGTTGGGCTGTAGAAACACCGTTGGTTGTATCACGAACTTGTGGTGCTTTGTACCTGCTAGGTACCTGAGGCAATGTCGTAGCCGCTGTCTGTCGCGGACTGTTGGTTGTTGTAAAGAACGCGCTAGTTCTTTTACTGCAAAGCTCATGTCTGGTCGTGCGTATGAAAGCCATTGCAGCTTTCCGACCATACGCCTGTAGTGGGCGTGCTCTTCTGTGTCAAGGAGTTCATCCTGTTCTGTTGTAGGTGTAGTGCTGTTGGAACCTGTAGTGACGGCTGCTGTTGCATTTTGTAGGTTTGCTTCTTGTAGGATGTTGTCGATGTAACTGTTTCCCAAAGAGACTTCAAAGTGATCTCCTTTGTTTGTAGTCTTCCTTCCAAGGAAGTCAATTGTGTTGTTTGTTGTGCAGGTGCCTGTATGGCGAAGCAACATCTTGGCCTGTATCTCCTTGAAAATTCGAGCAACCTCATCAGGTTCTCCTGTAAAGAGAAGATCGTCAACATAGACCATGATGTAAACTTTGCCATTGGTGTAGACATTAGGCTCTGATTGTAGTCTTTTTAGACCGAGGTCTGTAAGCACTTTTGCTAAGTGCTCCTGCCATGCTTTCGGGCTGCTTCGTAGACCATACATTGCTTTGTGTAGCCTCCAGAGAATGTTTGGATTGGTGTAGTACTCCTTTGGTGGTCTGAGTACCAGGCCTGCTGTTGCTGCGAGTGCGTGTAAGAAAGCGGTAGATATGTCACCTACCTGTACAATCCATCCTCTGGCCATGCTAAGTGCTAGGAGTATCCTTAGCACTGCAAAGAGTGGTGTACTGGCGTACACATCATCTTGGTCTTCGATGTGTTCGGTGTACCCTTTTGCTACGATCCTTGCTCGTACTTCATCTCCTTTGGATCTGTAGACCCATCTTGACTCGATGATGTTGTCGAGATCAAGTTCTTGTTTTTGTTGAGGTGTAAGCTTTGTAACATCTACCTCCTCATACACTCCTTGTGTTCTCATGGATTCCATCTCCTTTTGCATTCCTTGCTTCAACTTCTCTGTATCGAATCCTTCGTTGTTGTAGATGTGAGGCTCGAGTAGCCTCTGTTCTGCTCGTACCTCCTGGGTCTTCGCTTGTTGCTGTTGTAATCTTCTTGCCGCTCTTCAATGCAACTGTAACTGCATTGATTCTCAATCTTGGTCTTGTACTGTCTCTCTCCTTCGTCTCTTCTGGTCTCGCTGGTGCTTGCTGTGTTGTACTTTGCTTTCTGCTCTTGCTTGCACTTCCTTCATGTACTTGGTCGTCCACTGATCTGGTTGGTGAACCTGTTGGCATTGGTGATGTTCCCAACCTCATTGCTGTAGATTGTGATGACGTTGATGCTGAAGCTGTGCTTTGCTGTTGTTCTTCGACTCTTTGTTTCTTTGTTGTCTCTGTTCTTGCTTTCTTTGCTTCTGTGTCTGCTTCCTTTGTGTCGGTAGCATGCTTTGCTGCTGTTGTTGGTTGATTGCCTGTACTCGTTTCTTCTTGTGGTGTTTGCCCTGCCTGGACTTGTTGCTCTGTTGATGCTGGTGTTGGTGGTAGTATGAAAGCTGGCTGGAATCCGGTTGGTGGTGTAGGATTCCATGGTGTGCCGGTGATTGTGTCCATCAATTGGTCATCGTACCTGTTTGTACCTGCTAGTCGTCTGATTGTACGTGAGCGTACAATTCTGCCTGCAATGCCAATGAAGGACTCTCCAGTGGATGTACATTTGCCGAGCCAAATGCCTTTGTAGAACCTGGGTTCAAGCTTTGGTCGTTGTTTGATCGACTGTACCATGTACATCACAGTCTCTCCAAATTCACAGAGAGCTGCATTGTGTGTTCGTCCCCATCTTTTGTGGTAGCTGGTGTAGCCATCTGCTCTGATGAGGAATCTGTTGATCAGGTATGCTGAGTGTCGTACTGCCCAAGCCATGATTGGGTGTGTTGTCGGCAGTCTTGTGTTGTAGTTCTGCTGTACCTGTGTCCTGAGTGTCCTGATGTGGCCAGCAAGTGTACGGTGGAATCTTTCGATGCTGCCACTGCTTTGTGAGCTGTATGCTGGTGCAAAACGCACTGTCATGTTGCCTGTTGCTTTAGCTGTAGCTCTAAGGAGCGCCATCAGGTATTCTTCTTGGTCACTTTGTAGTATGCCTTCTGCTCTTCCACATTCAAGAATGAATGCTTGTAGACATGCCTGTGCATAGGCAAACTGTCCTTTCTTGTCCGTAAGCATTGTTGCCATTGCCATGCCGGTCTGTATGTCTATGGCTGTCAGGATTGGTACCGGCCATTTGTCTTCATAGGTCTTGATGTAGGTGAAATCAACTTGTATGACTGGCTGTTTCGATGTTTGCTGTTGGTGGCTTGTCTGTCTGCCGCGAGATTGTATGCACACAGGACACCAACTCCTGTATGGCATGTGTGTAAGGTTGTGCTGTTGTATCTCCTGCGGTGTAGGTTGTACCGGTTGCATCATTGCTTTCGCTTTGTTTGCGCTCTGTTGTTCATCTTCTTCTTCTGTTGGCATTTCTTCTCTGTATTCTCTTCTTTCTTCAAAGGTTGTAGATCCTGTCCATTCTTGTTGTCTTGTTGGTTGTGGTTCTGTAGTCCAATCGTCTTCGATTCTTCTCATGTTGTGCTCCTCTCGTATGTGTGTTGCTCTGTATGGGAGCAGTTTGTAGACATCTGGTCCATTGTCTTCAGGTGTCGGTGTGTAGAACTCTGTCCTTGGTCTCACATGTACTCTCTTCCAAAACCTTCCTTCTTTGATCCAGTAGTCTGTTGTGCCATCCATCTGCATTGGTGTTGGTAGTGTGTCTTCTTTCTCTTGCTGCTTGTACGTGTGTCTGTACTTCACTTCCTTTCCTTCATCCATTCGTTTCTGAACTTGTTGTTCCTTGTTTGTATCCTGTTTCTGTTGGCCTGTTGTTGTCTTGTCAGGAAGAATCCTGAACCATGTTTCTCCTTGCCATTGTGTACCTGTAACCTCTCTGTTTGCTTCCTGTTTAGTGAGTGACTTGAACTTGTCTTCAAGCACTGTCTGCGTACCGTTTTCCTTGTAGACAATTGTTTTCCTGTAGTCGTCCAGTCTGTCAAATTGTACTGGACATGCTGATTGGTTGCCGTATCCTGGTGTGAACAATGCCTTTCTTCCTCTCTTGTGTACCCTGACCAGGTATCCTTGTTCGTTGTACTTCCAGAAGTCGTTGTTGCCTCCTTGCTGAGGTCGTGGTCCTGTTGCTGTAAGTGTGTGTGTTGGGGCAATCATTGCCACTTGTCCTTGTGGAGTGTTTTGTATCACCAGTTTTGTTCCTTCTTCCAGTGGTGCTGTTTCCAGGTGGACGTAGAGTAGTCTGTCTTTACTTGTAAGTGGTGCCTGAAACACATCTCCTTTCTGTAGTGTAGACTCTGTACCTCTGAGGTTGAGTTCGAAACCTTGTTCCAGGAGTCTTGTAACACTGACGATGGGGTGTCGTATGCCATCTATGACGTAGAATGGCATCACCAAGTGTTGTCCTTGTATGTTCTTGAAGCGCACCCATCTGTAGCCAAGAACCCAAAGAGGCTCATCTGTAACTGAGCGAAGTGGTGGTGTTTGTTCCTCTGTAAGAGGCATCAGTGGAAAGTCTGTACCAAAGGTTGGTGGACAGACATGTACTGCTGCGCCACTGTCGATCATGAGCTCGACAGTCTTGTAGGTGTTGAGGCCTGTGGTTGTGACTGAGGCAATTGTAGTTGTTTCAAACTCTACTGTGGAAACTACCTGCGCTGGTGCTGTAGGCATCTGTGGTGGCTGTTGTTCCTGGTTGTATGCCGCTTGCTGTTGCTGGTCATATTGCCACTGTTGGTGATCTGGGAACCATTGTTCCTCGTAGTGCCACTGTTCTTGTTCTGTCCATGGTTGTTGGTAGTATGACTGTTGTTGGTTGTACTTGTCTGTGCCTTCATCCATGTCTGTGACGTTGTAGACTGCCACTCTGCAGTCCCTTGCATAGTGGCCCTGTTGACCACATTTGTAACATGTTCCTTTTCCTTTGCCTTTGTTCATTGTTGTACTTTGCCATTGTGGTGGTCCTTTTCCTTTGCTCTTTCCTTTGTACTGCATTGCTCCCTTGAAAGGGTTGCCATGTCCAATCGGTGTTGGACCTTTGCCTTTGTATCCTTGTTGGCTGTATCCTGTGTATCCTTTTCCTTTGTTGTGCCATTGTGTCTTTCCTTTTCCTTTGTTGTACTTTCCTTTACCCTTGTTGTTGTACTTTCCTTTTCCTTTGTACGTAGCTCCAATGTCCATGGGCTGTGCATCATTTGTGCCGCTGTTCATTGCCTGTTGTTGTGCTTGCATCTTGGAGAACGCTGTTGATGCTCTGTGGTATTCGAGAATGAGTTCTCGAATGTCTGCATATCGTTGTATGGCTCCTGCTCGCAGTTGTAGGTATTGTTGTAGTGGTCCTTTGGTCTCATTGAGTAGTATTGCAATTTTGATGTTGTCAGGTATTGGTGCTTGGTTGTCTCTTTCGTATCTTGCTATTTCAAATTCCCATGTTGTAAAAGACTCCTCAAATTTGTTTTCGTTGAACTGTGGTTTCAAAAGCTTTGTAAGGTACCCGACACTGCGTGTACCAAGTGGAATTGAAAAGCGTCTGTGTAGTTGTCTCCATGTCTCGAGACCAACTGCTTGTAGTGTATGTTGTCTGCAAAGGACAGCTGCTTGTCCTTGACAAACGTTGATGAGTAGGTAGTGTAGGTCTTTGCTGAGTTGTATCCAAAGGTCTGCTTCTTCTCTGTTTCTTGCACCATCTGCTAGAAGCTCATCTGTAACTGGTTGATCAAATGTTTCTGCTATCTGTAGGAGCCTGGGAAATTGTGAATTCTGTAGCCCCAAGTAGGCCACAAACTTGTGTTTCCATTCTTCAAATGTTGCGTACTCTCCTGTAAAGTGTGGTGGTGGTAGTTTGTATCTGTGCATCGCATTGAGGTCTCCTCCAGTTGTAGCTGCTGCCATGTTTGTTGTTGTATGTTCTCACCTTAATGCTGTAGCTTTGTTGCCGATGTGTATTGGAGCTCACCCTGTCCTGTATCGTCCAGGGATCACTGCTCCGCTACCATGTTGAAATCAAGTGTACAACTTCCCTGTCTGTAATCTCAGCAGCTGTAGCCCACGCGCTGTACTTTTCACTAACTCAGGGTAACGCTCAAGGCTAACTCAAGGGCCCTGTATGGAGCCCAAATGTATCGTACCATGACATGTACTCAGAGTAGACCAACATGTTGTATCAGCAACTGTATAGCTCATGTACATGTGCAGGTGTATTCTTAACAATCATCATCGTCGTCGTCGTCATCATCATCATCATCATCATCGTCGCAGTGTATATGGTACGTAAAGATGCTAATGATGGTAACGATGACAGTTGAGGATACACATCACGGCTTTCACGATCATAGTGATATCTGATCCTAATCAAACGTGGTAAACCCGACAATGAAACCCACCAAAGGTTGTCACCAACAAAAAAGACAAAACATGGATGATGCAGCTTATTGCAGCTTAAGGTTGAGAAACCTTAAACTGAAGACCTCAAATGAATGGTTTGTACCATGGTTTTTACCATGGTTTTTACCATGGTTTTTACCATGTGTTTAACCATGTTTTTAACCATGTGTTTACCCGTTTCGGGACCCGTTGATCACCACCAGTTCCCCCACCTTCTCCGGCCCCGAGGTATCCAGCAGCCGCATGGCATGTGCCTCTGCCTCCCCGAGGCGACCCTCCTCCGCGCTAAAGGCCATGAGGAAACGAAGCGCCTCCTAAAAACAGACAGAAAGCACGGAAAAAATGGAGATTCACAGTGGTTAATGTTGGTTAATGTTGGTTAATGTTGGTTAATGTTGGTTAATGTTGGTTACTGTTAGCTAATATAACCAATAATAAATTTGATGTGGCAACACTATACTTGGGGATCTAATGTTTGGAAACCAAGTCTTTTAGCAATATGACCAACAGTGTTATCAATCATCTCCCAAGCCTTGATGTTTTAATGAATGCTTCCATATGTATATATATATATACACATACACATGTTTATTTATTTATATGGGATGTCATCCCCTACTAAAGCATGGTTTCTGAGAATTTCTCATATTACGGCGATGGGATTCATGTGGGAAACCCAATGCCAGAAACCCATTTCGGGACGCTTGGGATGGTTTTACCGTTTTACCACATTAATTGGGGATGTTTAAGATGTTTACCACCCATTTGTGGAAATATTGAGGACTATTCTGACTATTCACTGTTTAACACAAACATAAGGGATGTCAAAAATGTGGGCTAAAGCCATGTCTCATCCAAATAGATTGGTGTTGTTTCCGAGTTGTTCTAACATGTTTGTCCAAATGGCCCTTGCTGAAGTCAGATGGGGCACCAAGGGGCCCACAAAATTTGGTATTCCTTGTTTAAAACATCCGTTTGATTCGGCAATCATTGTTACCATACCATGTTTTCCATGTGATTGGTTGGTTGGCCGTGAAGGAATATCAAAAGATGTTAAAGCAATAGCAGAAACCCAAGTCTGACGTTCAATTTGTTTGTTGTTCCCTTGCCAATATTTGTCTGTTGATATCCCCATTTTTGTTGGTTTATCCAGTAAAGTGTGACAATTCTGGGTACCATAGGCTGTCTTGGAGGTTTGTAAAGCCTTTGATATGGCTTTTATATGGAGAAGGGGTGATACGGGTGATACTTCACTGAAAAAATCTGTTCAAGGGGTCTGCCTGGCAAAGCGGCAAAGCTTCAAGAGGTGGAGCCAAGATTCTACGACCTCCGTGGAGAGGCCCAAGGGTTGCAAGGGTCCTGGCGCTCGGGGTGGCGACTTTGAATTTCTAGGGCGACTTTCAAAGTGTTTGGTGTTTGGAAGGCCTAATTCTATCTAATTTTCAGCAGACTAGAGGACCAGAGGAGAAGAGATAGCGCCTACCAAGTTGGTAAAACAGAAGGCTCCTGCTCCCTTTTGTGTTACCAAATCCAGTGCCCAAATGCCATCAAACGGACAATTCCCAGATTTACCACCCCAGTTGGTCAGTTACAACCCACAGTTAGAACGCCCAGATTTGCCTCCATCTGGTTGACCGTTCTGCTCCAGCATCTGACTGTAGTAAGCTGCGGCTTGCCTACAGCACCAGGGTGGAAAAGTGCTGTTTTTCCAGTGGTGGCTGCAGCCAAGTGAACAAGAAATTCCACGTTGCTCTATAAATCGAAACAATACGTGTGTGATCTTGGGGCTCATAATTTCCAGTTCTATAAGTGCGCAAGTTTTCCCCTGGGAAAAATTATTTGCAACTTAGATAGTTCATGAAGAACACAACTGAGACGTGTTCATCCCCATGTGCATCCCCTTGTTTGATTGTTAACTCATTCTAAGTCACTATTTTTGATGCTTAGATCACCAGAACCTCGCATAAAGTTGGCTATATCCCATGAAAATCCCCGTGAAATTCTACCTATATATATATATTCCATATATATATATTCCATATATATATATTTATATATATATATATTTCCCCATGACATTCCGATTGAAATCATGGTGAAAATCCCCAGACTCCCCGGACCCCCGGACCCGTCATCACCTCCGTTGGTTGAGATCTCGATGCAGCCGCGCCAGACGTGGCAGCGCCATGCGTTCCCGGTCCCCACAGCGGTGCGCCTTCTCGTAGCATCTCAGGGCCTAGATGTCGTGGCTAGATGAAACAGATGTTGGTTTCAGAAAGGATTCTCCAAGATTAAGAAAATCCTGGATGATGTTGACTTGATTTGACTTGTTGATGCTTATATTCTATTGCATTGGTGTTTAATATTGATGGTTACTGTGAATGTTTGATGTGAAATCTATCTGCGCATCCATATATACAGTATATATTGATCCATGTGCAACTCCCATCCTCGATCAAATAGAATACAAAGTTGGATCATCTGTTCATTCTTGGCCATACCCATGAGGGCTCAAACTCAGGCCCAAAAATGAGATGGTTACAGTTTTGCTGGCTATTGGCTTTTGACCCATGCCCACTCAAAGCAATCCAAGAGATATCAGAAAGGGTTCCTGCGTTTTCCCCCCTCTACGAATATTTGTATATATAGTTGAATGAGTTTAACTGTATGTCTGTATGTTCAAAAAATATATGTTCGATTTAACTGTCTGTTAACATATGCATCGAATTTGCTACTATTTCTGCGGATCAAAGGCATGAATGATCTCGGAAACTCATCTGGAACTGGAAAACAGCCCATTTTCCCAGAGGAACACCATCCAAAAACGGATGGGCGAGATGCCTCTCGATAAAAAAACAGGCTAGAACCTAAAAGTTGCTGACAAATTCGTGAAGCCAAAAGACATGTCGGATGGTTCAGTGTAGATTTTCAAATAGCAATTCTCCGGTCAAAGTTTCAGCTTACGGCCACCAAAATGGATGTGTTATAGACTCATGGCCATCCAATTGATGTAGTTTTGCTCCCTTCTATTCACCATAAATTGTGGGTATCCTCTCACCCTGGCCCCATGCATCGTGGCCTCTGATTTGCGACTCATGAGGTCGTAGCATTGCGCCATGGCGCACCACATCCGTGCGTCCTCCGGGCGGAGCAGCATGGCACGGCGGTAGTAGAAGAGCGCGTAGTAGTGCAGGCCTGGAGGATATCATGGAGCTATAACTGGTACCCTCTGGTAAACGTTTACATAACTATGGAAAATCACCATTTTTAATGGGAAAATCCACTATTTCTATGGCCATTTTCAATAGCTATGTCAGCCATTACCAGAGGGTATCCATTGGCATCCCTTCCCCCTACTAAAAAATAAAAATAAAAAAAAACATCCCCTAAACGAAACCATGGTGGATGTAGCGGGAATTTCCACATCATTCGGGACCATGCAATTGGGGTGTTGAATATTAGGGTGATGGGATTAATCCAACAAACATGCAGTACTTGGGGATGTACAAAGGGTATCACCAACAACTGTGGTTTCTACAAGCTGAAGTTCATGAGAATCTGGCAAAGGTGACGTGCTTGGTGGGGGGAGGTTCCTTTCCTTGCCATCATCTGCTGTGACTTAGGTATCAACTCGTTCCAACTCAAATAGATACATGATATCCGTCATGGCCAAGCTCGGTGGTTAGCATATGTTTTACCGTCCATATCCCCCCACTTCGTGGGACTTGGTGGACAAAAAAATGTGTTACCTCAACTAAGGTCCACCCAGGAAAGGCTGACCCGGCTCCCCCTGCCACAAATCGAGGATCTCAACAGCTCATAGGTTTGCCCCAAGCCATACCAAGCCCGGTAGTCACGCTGATTGATCGTCACAGCTGTGCGGTAAGCGTCAATGGCCTTGGCTGGTGGCGACTCCCATAACCAGATATAACCAGCATAGTGCAAACAGGCTCCAGAAATCGGTACCGTATCCCTTTTTTGTGATGATTCATGATTCGTCTCACCAGACTGGCCCAAAGAACCTTCCAACGACGTAACGAGCAGCTGCCGGGGTGTTCTTCATCTCCATGAACTCATGACCCATCAGAATCCATGCCTCAGACACAAGCTTCCCCGCATGGGGCTGTCACCCCGCTAAAACTGGTTAGTTAAATTTATTTCGGAGCCACTTCTCAAACTGTGATGACCCGGAAGATGGGACTGTTTAGTTGGGAGTTGCCACAAGATATGTTAACCAACAAAAAATATGACAATAATATTTGATCAGATATAATATAAATATATATATATATATACGTGTGTGTATGTACGTATAAAAGAGTATAAAGAACATATATATATATATATACTCTGCATTTCAGTATACACACACATATATATATATATTATTGTTAATTATATACATTTACCAACAAACATCCTATGATAGAACCGCAAACAACCAAACAATCAACTGGTGCATATGATCCCAGCAGAACGCTTGCCCGCTGCATCCAAGGGGCTGGAGTGAAGTGCCTATTAAGACTCAAGGCTCTCCTAGGGATCCAAGGCTTTCAAGGGAACCCCGTGAGTTGCCACGGGACATGAACCGCACTATGTACCCTCTGGTGAACTAACATAGCAATTGAAAATGGCCATTTATAGTGGATTTTCCCATTAAAAATGGTGATTTTCCATAGCTATGTTAGTTCACCAGAGTGTACACAATGAAGTTTGCTGGCCAAGCATCTGGAAATACACCACGGCTTTCTCGTGCTCACCTTTCAAGCTGTAGTAGTTGCCGATGATGCTACAAGCTTCTGGCGTGTACTTGTCGATCCTTAGCTTCTACACTCAGAATCCTGGAACCAACCCAATGGAACCAGCCCAATGGTTGATTGGTTTCAAGGTGAAAGCGGAGCTCCTCAACAAATAAAGCATAGCTCATAGGATAATCATGACAAACAAAAATGCTGGTTGTTTGATGTCCTTTCAAGTAGATTCAATCTTTACAAAAATCTATGTGTTCATCTATGTGTATAATATATGGAGGTTTCCTAAGTCATGGGGGGTACCCCCAAATCATCCATTTTTGTTTGGGATTTTCCATGAAACAACCCATCCAGCCATTGGGGTAGCGCCAGTTATGGAAACAGCTGAGATTCTTCACCACATGCCGCGCCAGGTGGCTCAAGGCTGCAGACCGCTCCTGGCCCCATGCTTGGGACGGCAAGAAATGATGTGAAACTGTGAAACAACAAAACCTGAGCTGATGTCCAAAAGTGTCATAAAGTTTCTAGGTGTTTTTTCTATCTGTATCTGTTGTACTTGCGATACTAGTTCTACTTATCTTCTACTTGAACCCCCAGCTCGCCAGCTCCCTGCTTGGCCCCTTTAAAATTGCATCTCCTTGACAAAGAGGATGTTGGAATAGGTATCCAGCGACGTGAGCCGATAGGGATCCTTCTTGCGCATTTCTTCAAAGGCCGCCTGGGAGGAGTCGAAGTTCCTGTCGGACGACTGCGACGCTAAATGTCGAAGAAGAGCTGGGATTGTTTACCCAACCTGGTAATGGCTGACATAGCTATTGAAAATTGCCATAGAAATAGTGGGTTTTCCCATTAAACATGGTGATTTTCCATAGCTATGTTAGTTTACCGGAGGGTATACGTTGTACCTGCAAATCATCAAGATCGATCTGCCAATCCTGGAGAAAAGTGTTGGTCACTCAACTTTGGTTTCCAAGGCCCAACCGAATCCTCATGTTGTAGAAACAGGTGGCCAGCTGCGATGTGAGATAGGAGGACTCCGGAAAGCTCCCACGCAGCATGGCATAGAGGTTCTTGGCGCTCTCATTGCCTCAGGCTCCGAAAGGTTCATCCACCTGGGACCCTTGGGGTATCCCATATATGTTGATGCCTACTGTTGATTATATGTTTTTTATATAAATTATATACTATATATATATATTCTATATATATTCTATATATATATTATATTATATATATATATATTCTATATATATATATTCTATATATATATTCTATATATATATATTCTATATGTGTGTGTGTGATAATTATATTCGTGCAAAAAAAACAAGCACTATATATATATATAGGATAGATATCTTCCTGTGATGGGTTGAGCTTCCTTGCATTCACTATGGATCTTGTGTCTGATCCATCATTCCCTGGTCGCATGATCCACGCGCCAGGGGACGTTGAAGCTCCAACTGAAAGGCCGCTTCAAAGAAGTGACTCATCCAGTGGTTGGGCAACGTCCTGGAAAGCTGGCGACTGGATGGCTGGATGGCTGGTTCAAGCTTCCCCCGAATGTGGTTGCAAATCTACTTTGGGCTTGGGACTTGTCCAGTTTTTGTGATGTAGCCACGTGTTCATCTTCTTGGAAAGCCGCATAGGCGGCAACATGCGGCAACTGTTCAGCTTGGAGAGTTGCTTGTACAGTTTGTAGCCTTCAATACCCAGATGATCCCAAAAAAGGTACCAGCGACTGGGATGGGGAAAAACCTAGCAAAATCCGCGACTAGACGTAAACTTGGATGTATTTGGAACATGCCTCTGACCACGCCATTGGCCCTGTCGCGCACCATATCCACCTCCCAAGCATCGTCCGAGCATCAAGTCGACACGACAATCATTCACATCGTTCAGGTCGGAAGATATGCCTTGAACGACAATCATCTCAACACCCTGCAAGCCCCCCAGTCAGTCATCACATCCAATCACAGCAAGCCCTGCAACGTTTACACTATTCCGATGTAACTCAGGCACAATTGCCAGCTCAGTCCTTACAATGAAGAAGAATGTCAACCCCGGATCAATAAGCCCTGGACTGCTTAACCAGTTAAGGTGCCAATGACCACTGTTTGGAGTCGTCAAAGTCAAACCCATCATTTGTCCATTGGGGTTCAGCTTGGTGGTCTTTTGATCCCTTAGCATAACTTCCAGTGCGATAAATGATTATCTCGTCTAATTATCTAATCCCAAAACACATCAAAAGACTAAAGAATGAGTCTGTGGCTTTGATATTCTTTGATCCATCCTGACATTCTTTGAAGCCAAGATGCTGATGATGTCCAGCCAGGCTGACCAGTTGCAGGGAAAGGCCTGAACCGACTCCAGCAGGATGCGCCGGGCATCATCCTTCAGCTCTAGACCCTTCAGAGTGATGCCATAGACGTACAAACCTCCACAGACTTCACAGCCGACATGGGGGTCACTGGGGTATCAACCACGGAGAAAATTTCCGTGGCTACAATGAGCAACGAAAAAACATGTATATTGATGTATGGGTCTGTTTGAAAACGCTGTTTTATACAGTATATACACCATTTTATGGGAATTCTTGATGGGGAAAATGATGAGGTTCTGAGATTTTGGAAGTACCATATTCTAAACAAACCCCTAGAGTAACAAGGGGTAACAAGCAGCAAGGGCGCTGAGATTCATCTAATTTCTGGCCAGGCCGACACTCAGTCGGATTTGGTTGGCCACACTGTGGCAGCGGATTAGCTGCCACAGGGTGCCGTGACCACTACATCCACTACTCAGCACAGTACTTCGACTTCAGCAACCCAAGGTCACAGAGCCTCCCATGCATCTGTCCCTTGTCTTCACTGGTTCTCAGCTTACCCAGATACTCCACTCCTTTCCAGCCCGGCTTCTTCTGGAGATCCAGCTGCACCAGGCGTTTCTTTTTTTGGGGACGACCCGTGACCCACAGCGGGCTGGACCCTTGGCGTGTGTACAAACAATTGATCTCATGCAGCTCCGGGCTGTTAATCTCGCAGTACTGTCGATGGAAATTTCTGACCCTCAGCCTTTGATCCATGGAGGCAACGTCCAGGGCACCTTCGTACATGGCCTCTTTCTCAGGTAGGTCCTGGATTTCAAGGAAAATGTTCTGCACCCTCTGCAGGTGTGGGCCGGCACCCTCCAAACATGGCCATTCATGACCTTGGACATCGATTTTCAGCAATTCTATTTCCACTTCGTCTGGCAGCTGTTCGAAGATGTCAGCCAGAGTCACGGCATCCACTTCAATCTTTTTAGGTTCTTTACCAACACATTCCCCATTAAAGACCTTACCATGTCCTGGGCGAGTTCGCCGCAGGCTATTGCATTCCTGTAAGGGGTGGACATAAAATGTGAGTTTTGCCACTGCCACGTCACTACATGCTGCGCGTATCATGTGGAATCGGTTTCGTGTCTCATTTTGTGCCATGACCGCTTCCACCTCATCAGCGAAGGAGGGTGTCGGCTCAACGGAAATGAGGAACAAATCGAGATCTTCTTTGAGATCCCGGCGAAAGTCAGACCTCCCAGCCGTGCCAATATCGAACCACACTCTCCGAAAACCTGGTGGGAGCCACCCGGCAGGCCGGCTGGCAGATCCACCGGACCTGCCCAGTTCCGCCTTGGGTTGAACCTCTGGGTCAAGGAGCGGTGCCAAGCTGAGATCCCAAGAATCCCGTGAATCCCGTGAAACGGGGTGCACGGCAGTGTCAAGATCGATCAAATGCAGCAAGAGCAACAGCAGCAACAGACCAAGGGATGCCAAGATCAGCACCTGTTTCCATTTCAGCATGCTGGTGGCAGATGTAGATCTGTTTCATTGACTGTGATGGCCATTCAGTCACTTACTCAGAGCAGCACTGCCCTATGCAATCGCCGTACAACAAAAGTGACAAAATACATGCAAACGAAAGGTAAACGGAAAAGAATGTGCGTCTTCTGGCAAATTTAAATTCGGATGTCGTATAATTACCGGGAATGCTCTTTTTGTTGGCACGTGGGTTTGCGTGGATGTCTTTCAGATTCCTTGAGCATTCAGCAGTCTTGTGAAAGTCTTCCCCCTGGCCCCGTCCTCACCAAACCTGCTTGGCTCCCTGAGCTAAGGAACCGAACAGACCACATAACATACCTCGCATCATTAACCTTGAGATCACCATTGAGATACTTTCGACCTGTGCAACTTTTCGACTTTAAGAAATGTATCCCAACACAGCCTCCTTGGTCTGTGATTATCTACAACCCTTGGCTAGATTGACTCAGTGACAAAGCCCCACAAGACGCATCAGCCCAAGACATCCTGAAGTCAATCCAAGTGTTACCCTCCCAGCGTCACCTAAGCCATCTAGTCGCCGTTGCTGATGAAGCATTGACAATTCTTCCTCCAGCGTTCTCCTGAGTGCATCATTAATACTGCAAACTTACTTCCCTGAGAGGAGGATTTAACCAACCAAATGGGAACTGATCCAACAAAAGTAGGAATCTAACCAATCAAAGTCATCACATACCAAATATGGGGTCAAGACTTGTTGGTGTTCCTCTAACTCTAACAGTAAATAGGACTTGAACTGGTTGCTGCCCTTGCTGCCCAGTCTCAGCTCAGGGTTTTTCACCTGACCCTTCTCCACCTGAGACACTTCACATCAAACCCATTAGCAGGGCTTATTGATTGTAGATTTCTTCAGCAGCTAGGGTTCCCCATGATATTCAAAGGCCAACATCAAAAACATCCAACAAACGGCATCCAAGCATAACGGGTTGCTGTAAAAGCAGTCGTTCCAAGCCCGTGCCTGACATAAAAACCAGAAACCAGAGACTTGGTCACCGAAGTTGCCAAAAATGTGCCTTAAACTGCCATGTTTCGTGGTTTCATCGAGGAAACTTACCCCATGTTTTTTCAGGATATCTTGTCCAAGGATCACAAAGCAACCAAGCCGCTGGATCTTGGACCTCTGCAATTTCCTCCTCTTTCCTCTTCTCCCCAGCAAGGTAGAGGGCGTAGGACCTCAGGCACGAAAACATCGTAATTTCAGGTCCAAACTCCGGTAGCCAAACCAAACTGCCAGAAACCAACCAAATTGCAGTGCTCGATGCAAAAAGGGTAACAACATTAAATAATGTACCATGTAGCCGCTGCAGTATCCATAGACATGTCTACGTTCACTTTTGTGTCCATTATCTGTTGTAATCGTCAAAATGAGTCAATGCAAAGTCGATATATCGTATGTATATGCGTAAGTACATGTGTGCTATGTATAAGATATATATATATATATGTGTGTGTGTTTGTTTGTGTGTGTGTCTGTATGTATGTATGTTTGTTTGTATGTATGTATGTAGGTAGGTAGGTAGGTAGGTATGTATGTCCGTCTGTCTGTCTGTCTGTCTGTCTGTATGCATGCATGCATGGATGGATGGATGGATGTATGCATGCATGCATGTATGTATCTCACCCTCTCATATTCGCATATTGAATAGATGCATACATCAATGCGAATTATTCAATGTTTATATATAACATACAAATACAGCCTCCGGGTGAGAGAAACATGATCTTTGATTTCATAGGATTTGTCTAAGGGAAAATTGACAAGAAACCACGCGTTTTATCCTCAAGTGATAAGGTTTCCTGTTTCAATTTTCTCCCCCCAAAAAAACAAACCAATCTTGCTACTGGATACTTGGCTTCCCGCAAAATATTGTTAGATAATCACTGGAATCACCCAAGTTCTGAATCTTCCCTTAAATCTCCCATGACAATTGTTTCCTTTATCACCCACTTGTCATTCCACCTTCCAACGTTAAGGCGCCGAAAGAACACCGCTGCCGGAGACTGCTGATCCTTACCCAGGACGGAAGCGGCGCGAGAATACTCGCGCATACCCATATGCGCCTGGGCGGAGAAAGAAAGCACTGCCTGGTGACTGATTCTTGAGTTGCATGCCTCTTCAATACATCTGCATATATATATATATATTTATTTATTATATATATATATATATTATATATATACATGCATATAATTATATAGATAGTAATATATATATAATCAAAAATGTAGTTAAATATATACCTATAAATAATTACATATAAATATATACATATAACTATATATTATTGCATGTGTAACTCTATATATATATATGATTTATATGATTATATAGATGTATGACTATATATAATTATATGTGATTATACATGTATGCACATCTGCATGTACATATTATACAAACTTTAAAAAAATAACAGGGCTCATTTTCTCTCTAATATCACCATACAATTGAACATGTTTATCTAAATCAATGGCAGTATTGCTAATAATGTGAGTTCGAATTGTAGTGACACTATTTTGGCAGCGTATCTTGTATTGTGTTGTGGTGCTGCAAAGCCCAATTGCGTGTTGCACATTGCTCCCACCTTTGCGAGCATCAGCGCGCCCCAGGCCCTTGCATCAGCAGCCGGCAGCGGTAGAGGCGCAGGCGCTGCCTCTTCACTGCCTGGAGGATGCAGTGATGGTAGACTCTGGTGATTAACTTGAAATTGATGATTTTAACAATTGGAAAAGGGTTTCACATGCGATTTTGATCAAGGTTTAATGCGATGTGAATTGCAAACTGGAGGTAACCTCTGGAAAAGTTGCTGCAGTTTGCTATGGGAAATTGCCATTATGTAATCATCCAGCAATGGAAATTCCATCAATAAAATAGAACCAAAACCAAAATAGAGTGGGATTGAACCAAAAAAAGGTGCCTGCACATTCGGAGGTAAGGTAGATCAAATAGAAATGCCTCTATGAATCCTCTATGTAAATGGAGAAAGCATGAGAAAGCTGAATCATTGAAAAATGTGAAACATTGTGAAAATGATGAAAAATGATGAAAAATGATGAAAAAATATGAAAAATGATGAAGAATGATGAACAAATGATGAAAAATGATGAAAAACGATGAAAAATGATGAAAAACGATGAAAAATGATGAAAAATGATGAAAAATGCAGCTAGCTGCAGCTAGTTGCAGCTACACTCCGTTGTAAAATTCTTCTTTGCTCTGGGCATCCTGAGGATTTTCCGGACCTGGCAAAGCTGCCAATAGCTCAGCAGCCCATTGAGCACTGCTTAGCAGCTCCGCAAAACCTTGGGGACCCTTTGGGGATGGGCTGATCCATTGATCGATGATTCGATGATGCTACGGGGTGTGGGACAATACAAATACCCAAATGGCTTGATCAAATGGGAAAATATGGGAAAATATGGGAAAATGCTGATTGACACCCTGAAAATGGAAATTGGGTTTAGCCATGTTTAGCCATGTTTAGCCTATTTTCCGACCACGCTCAGAGAATTGCTATTCACCTGCACGCCAGGATTTTGCATTCAAGCCTGCATGACTGCCATCATCTTAAAAGAAATCGCTTGCATCCAACAACCATGATTCGATAACCAGCAAAAATAGCTCACTTCCTCCCAATATTCAACACCGCGCAGAACCTCCAAGTTAAGTATTGGGTCTCATCATTCTTTGGGCAGTAAAGTGGATAGCAGTGCCAATGTTGCTAAAATGGGATCAGCAGAAGCTGCTGAATTCCATACCCAGCAGGACGTAATCAAGTCGGTTCTTGTCCGACTTATCCTTCATTTTAGTCCTAGCGTATCAGAAAAAATGATTCTTCTCCCCACTATTTGATTGTTACTTTGCGGTATCCCAAATATCAGATACACCCAAATCAGTAATCATATGGTTGATCAAGTATCCCATTCGTATCCCATGATATTGCCATTGTTTACATCCCATGAAAATATGCTTATGGGAAATTCCTGCTGCAAGTCATAGCTGGTATAGCTGGATGCTACGTCATAGCTGGTATCGCTGGATGTTTATTCCCCCAGTCATATGGAAATAAAAGGTGTTGACCTATCCCCATATCAATGGATTGGTTTAAGGGAAAATTTACTTCGGAAAGCCCCATGATCTTCATGGGAAAATCTCTGGTTTCCGGTTTCGATTTTCCCTTCAATCAATCCATTGACCATATCACTGAAATGTCTGGTGTCAAGGCACTGAGGGCCTGTACAGCACCTTGCAGCTCCAAGCGGAACTCATCGGCGCTTGGCAGCGATGCCATGGCAGCCAAGTGCAGCAGGTGCCCGCAGCAACGTGGTAGAAATGTGAGTTATAACTCACTATAAAATATGGGTTATGATATGTTATGATGCATAATTAGTTGTCATTAGTTGTAATTTGTCAGAAGTTCTAATGAAGTTGCAATTGAGTTAATATATGTTGATTCAGTTTATTACAAATCAGTTTTTATCAAAATATGATTTAGCTTAAGTTGCAACTGGCTACTATATCGAGATATAATTCCCATAAACCCTCCAACCACAAGAGTTTGAATGGGGCGAAACATGGCCAGAAGCCGGTCAACATTGGCTTGTGAAATACCTTCCAATGTTTACGGGTAAGGGCCTCGCTTCCATGGCTGTGGCAGGCCTGCAGGCCATGGACTGGATGGGATGCTTCTCCCATTGATGCTGTGCCGTGTTGTGTCATAGTCTATGCAGCGGCTGCAGGTGGGGAGTTTTCACATCTGGGCGACATACAGCAATGGTAAATGGATCCAAACAGACCCATGACATCACCTGGTTCATACCTGGTTCGCCTGGTTCCCAATGGGTGGAAAAAACGGGTAGCCATTGGTTTAGTGCGGTCACATGTCCTCCTTCTCAATGCCGGGCAGCAGCTCGAAGTAGAACCAGTCTACACCTTTGCCCGTTGCCGTCACTGGGCAAAAATGGATCCGCTCCAAAAAACGGTCTCACCTGCTTGGATCTTTGGGGCAGCGCGCTCCAAGTCCTGTCGTTGAAAGATTTCAATGGAAGCTGTAGGCCTCACCATCACGTCTCAAATGGAATCCTTTTCCAACCCAATGGCCCCATGGCATCCTATAATTGTCCAATTACACACCAGAAACTGGTGTTAAACTCTCGGCCTTCACCACAGGAGGAGGCAAAGGGTTCTCCTCTGCCCAGGCCCACCTCTGCAATCCGAGGATGGGATGATATCACCAACATGTATCATATTTTGGTGATAATATGTATTCCAGTATTCCATGATAATACATATATTTGATAGACTATATTGGGATACTATGTATCCCATTCCTCCAATATTTGATGGACTAGACAAAGCAGGTTTTTTTCCTATTCAAAATCATCTGGAGGAATTATCAACATTGGAATATCATATATATAAATCATATGAAATCCAATAGCGTAGGTTCAAACGTTGCTTGTTTTCGTGGTCCACATGCCAGTTTTGTTGTTGCACACCTCGGCGCCAGCACGGCGCCCGCAATGGCACCCAAGATGCCGCGGCGGCCCTGCCGATGGGGACATGAAGTGATAGATATACATATGGAAAATATAGGATATATATATGCGTGTGTGTATAAATATATATATATATATCTGTGTGTATAAGTCTATATATATATATCTTATAACTTCAGCATTTAGCCTGTGTTTTGTTTGTGTGTGTAGCATCATTACTAGCATTGTGTGTTGTGATTATGTTTGGTATTATCATTACTGTCATGAGTCACACAGTCACGATTATTGTTATTGTTATTATGAGCTCATATAATGTATATATATACCCTCTGGTAATTTAACGTAGCTATTGAAAATGGCCATTAATAGCAGATTTTCCCATTAAAAATGGTGATTTTCCATAGCTATGTTAGTTTACCAGAGGGTGTATATATATATATAATAGATGCCATCCAAGATTGTCCAACTTAGATAGGCCGAATTGTGACTGCGTTGGGTGGGCCCTCCCTCGTTTTTGTTCCACGACCGCGCCGCCTTCGGGACACTTGGCGAGGTCGAGAGACTCGGAAGCGTGAAAAAAGGGGCAGGGATGATGCTTGGGAACTTAAGCACCTGGACATGAGTCATACTTGAGCCTGCATAAACAATATATATATATACATATACATATATATATAATTATTTAAATTATATAATTATATAGGAAGTGAGGTTGAACCTATGACGGCTTCATCCATGTTACGTAATCCCAGTCTCCCTTTCCTTGCCTGTTCTGCTTTTGTGAAATCCCTCTCAAATGGATTGTTCTTCTGCAGTGAAGGATTTCCGGGCACAATTCGATGATTTGGGAGTTCTCATGTCAAGCCATGGGAAGTGACCAAGAGCTCCAGCTTTTAAGACCCCAAGAAACTGTGATTTGTCACAGTTCGAACGTGTTTTTGGGGTTGTATGGTTGTATATGTTGGCCTCTATGGATCTGTATGGATCTATATGGATCTATACCCGGTATACAAGCCAGGCTCATTTCGACTGGCACATGGTGGTGAAACCCCACACCAGCTGAGGTGCCAAAATGCCCTCCCAGCAAGCACCGCCTCAGGCTTCCCGGCAGAACCGAAGCGCTGTTTCTTGGGGAACAATTCTGCGTAGCTCGAAAAAAACGACCGATCGACCGATCATTTGATGATGGTTTTGGTAAAACCATTCGTGCTTGTAGTTTGTGACAAACATCTTGAGGCGCCGCACTAGCACTGCGCCTGAACATATCAGAACACGACTATTCAAAGCGCGTGTGGTCCATAGAAGCGTGCATGGCCACTCACATTGTGCTGGCGTGGACAGTTGAAGCAGCACTTGGGTTTGCATCTCAGGAATCATAAGTGGTTGATGACCGATAAATTTCTGACGTTTATCCCATGTAAAAACGTAGGAACTGACTACGATTGTCAGCACATCCAAGTAGTAGCTCTGCGAGCCTGTGATGCACGCAATGACAGACCTAAGCGTTTGCGCGGAGACTGTGAGCAAACGTGGGGACGTCCCATCACATGGAAGAACAAAGCATCCAAACATCCCTGAGATCATCTTTTTGATGCTGAATTCATGTTTTGATTGGGAATGAAAATGATAAAGTGTTTAAAAATGATTGGCACAGAAACTGCTACTGATGCTATGTGAAATCCCCGAGTTTCAGCGACAGAAGGATACTCCCCATCCTCAGCAACCCGCCCGCTTGGCCGTAGCTTTCTCGCTGAAATATCTGCAATTTGAAACTGGACTGGACATCTGCGGTCTGCACATCGAGCCAAACAGGTGATGTGACCAGGTCAAATATCATGGCTTTTCTCGGACAACTACCATCCCGAACATTGCTGGTCAGTTAGTCTATTTTCCCTGAGGCAAAATTAAGCCATGAAGCTACCAAAGCAAGCGTGACTTGTGATGATTGGGGACGTCTCAAATTCGTCCCTACACCCAAGAACCGGTCGTATATGGTCATATCTTCCTGGTAGGCTGAAGCAGGAAAAAACTTGCCCACATGTTTGTGAGCCGGCAACATGTCCAACGCTAAAAAACAAGACTGGATACATCTTCAAGATGAACCCGGATGCAGCTGTCCACTGGGCAGGTTCAGCGTTTTTTGAACATGGCATTCTTCCAATAATGTTGACAGTACTTTGGGGGGGAGTTGCAGTCTATGTCCATGGTTCACATCATTTTGTCTAATCAAAAAAATGTTCACATCAATGTAGCCATGTCCTAACCCAAGGAACAACCACCAGCAAACTCTGCTGCGCTGTGTGTCCGTCTGGACTGAGCCATTTGTTGGTTTATGTAAGTCATGAGCAATGTGGAAAAAATTGGCCAATCCTTCCCCCGATTTTCCGCTTGTCCGAAAATTGGGTACCAAAATCCCCTACTTGACCGTCGTGTTCCCCATGGTTGGGCAAACTCTAATGTGCAGTACCCCGTCAGAACCCCTAGTCGGATGTATGGGATCTTTCCTTTTTTGGGGGAGCCCAAGAAGGAAATCAACACATGGCTCCCACAGCCATCAGACCTCACCACCATCGTAACCAAAGAGACTGCGGAAGGTGTTGAGGCCCAGGACATTACCTGGGTTTTGCCCCAAGACCCAACTCCCAACCCGTGGAATTTCCTAAGTTGGAGCTCAACCCACCCCCACATCCAACCAAAAGTGTACATGTGTATGCGCGCCTCTCTCCACAAATCTCCACCCTTATGACATCCAATTCCATTTACATAGTGTGTGTGTGTGTTCGTACGCATATAGATAGATAGATAGATAGATAGATAGATAGATAGGTAGATAGACAGATAGACAGACAGACAGACAGATAGATATAGAGATAGAGATAGATATAGATATAGATATAGAGATAGAGATAGAGATAGAGATAGATTTACACATATATATATATAGGTCTCTGCCTGCATGCCTGCCTGCCTTTCTGTCTGTCTGTCTATCTATCTATGTGTGTGTGGAACGTCTGAACAGACGTAAAACTTCGCTGGCGGCTCATTTTTATATATTTTTGATTAAAGCAGGGGGTCACCGGGGTCCCGGGGGGTCGGTGACAAACGAGACACCTCTTCTGACCCGTGAAAACGTACCTGCGGGGCTTTGGTGGTGCACCTGATTCAGTTCCCGACGGATCACTCTAATGATCCAGTTCTTTTCTAGTGTGTGTGTGTGTCTATGTACTGTATGTCTATTCACTGAATGATTTCAGCAAGAAACTCACCGCGGACTTCAGGACAGTCTTCAGGAGCAGAACCTCAGCAGGTTCCATGGGTCAGCTGGGTAGGTAACTTGGGCCGTAGCCCCCATTCCCGGCTCCTGGCTTTAGAGCCTAAAGCAACGTTCAGGTCAAAGCCAAGTTACAGGTTGCAACTCTAGTTTTGAAGAGGGTTCCGGCCCCACTTACACCGTTAACCTCCCTGCTGATGTGCTTTCAACCAACAAGATCGAAACCACCATCCACACATCCAAAGCTCAGCCACTAGGAGGAATTCCGCCTTCACCGGGCCCACCTCTGAGGAAAAGTCCTACCAGTTGAAAAAATGTGCATTTCAACAGTGAAACAGTGGAAGTTTACCACTTTTATTTACACATTCGGAAGTCTAAAGAATGAAGACAAGTAGAAAAATCAGATTTATCACCAATCAAAAATTCAACCTACAGGTCAACGACAAATGATTTATTCCACCATCAATTTGGGGTTCAGTGTTCGGTCCCTGTTTATTGGATCCTACCGGCAGCTTTCAGCTTAGAATCCACAGGTTGCCAAGAACGTACAGGCAGCCAACGGACGTGCGTCAAATCCGAATGCAGGACTGACTTAGACGTACTCAACTCAATCCAATTATATAAATGGTTCGCAAAGCATGATTACACACGTGTGTAAATGTATGTATGTATGTATGTATGTATGTATGTACGTACGTACGTACGTATGTATGCATGCATGCATGTATGCATGCACGTATGTACGTACGTACGTACGTACGTACGTACGTACGTATGTATGTATGTATGTATCTATTTGCAAATATAAATATAAATATATATGTATGTATCTATGTATCTATGTATCTATGTATCTATGTATCTATGTATGTATGTATGTATGTATGCATGCATGGATGGATGGATGCATGCATGCATGTATGTATATCTATATATATGTGTGTGTAATTGCGTATAGTAACTATATGTATGTATGTATATATATGTGTGTGTGTGCGTGTAAGAATTATATAGGTATGAATATATTATACATGTATAGCAGTAAATATATCTTATATATATATATTTGCGTGTGTGTGTGTGCATTTATATATTTACATAAACGATCTGGAAACATCTGTCATGAACCAGGCTGGGTATTTGGGGCCATGAAAATGCCCCTGCAAGGCAGCACGCCTCATAGGTTAGGTCTGCTACCGCCATATTGGCCTCCAAAAACCACTGTCGGTTCCAAAAAAAAGGGCTGAGGCTCGCTGAGGTTATCTGATGATCCCCCACGATACCCCATAGAAATAACTTTGAAATGATGAAGATAAATGGCCGTGAGGCCCAAATTATAGACTGAAATAGACTGAAACCATCAAAGCATCCCAGTGGGTGATCCTCACGTGTTGCCTTCCTCACAAGCTGAGCGTAAGGACGTCAAGTCTCCTATCTCGAACTGTCCCTCCACACTCAAAATTGCTTAGGTTCAGACGCGGGCACCAACAAAACCCTGCACTCGCACTGCGATGTCCTTGAAAAGGATGCCAGACATCAACCCCCATAATCCCAAATACCAGGTATACTGGTAGTGTATCACTATCACCCCCTGTTGTGGCAAGACATTATATGTTTGCCCCATTGATATATTGATCCATTCACCCAGCCCCGGTAAAGCCCATCTTCTCATGGCGGTCCTGAATCCGAACCTCTCTCAACTTCAGCTCGGGGGGCTTGTTCCTTGGCCAAACCGAGGAATGCCCAATGGAAGTGGGTGTCCAATCCTTCAGAATTAACGAGGTATCCAGGATCTGCACACGTCTCTTCAAATGAACCCTGACATAGTGATCCAACCTTTTACTGGCCAATCGTTGGAAACAAATCACTTTGGAAATGGGATTAGTTGCGTGACAAGGATCTCAGGAGGCCTTAGGTTCTCTTTGATCTCGCTGATCTTTGTCAAAGTATCGTTGACGTTCCTTGTTGAGCCATGCCAGTGACCACCCGCGGTGGTTTTAATGGGGACATGATGACAGCCGCTCGTGTTTCGGGCGTTTTTTCCAAAGAAAAAGTCAATGTGCTGCTGCGGCTCGAAGAATTGAAGGTCTTTTCGTACATGAGCTCCATGCCCACAACATGGAGCTGCTGCACTGTAAGCTGACGGCAGCGAGACATGAGGAAGTCGCGCAGCAGAACGTGGCAGCGAATTCCTCAGGAGTGATCAAATCTCCGGACCTTCTCAGACCTTCTCAGACCTTCTCATTCTTATCGCTATTTTGTCGCCATCCTCATCATCATCATCATCACCACCATCGCCCTGATCTCCCTGATCATCACTAGAGTCAGCATATTGGTTGCAGTGATCAGCCAGCAGCCAGTACTAACGCCAGCCCCAGAGAGCAGTGACAAGACACGCTTTGCCGTCAGCAAATATGGCGATCGCCATTCACGTTCCGGCGGATTCCCCAGCTCCAAGCCGTCAATGCAAATGAGACCCTCGCTGATATCGACCTGGTGTCACAAGTAGAACAGTTGGTTCTACCAGGTGGCCATCCAGAATCATCCAGATTCTACCCTTGCACCAGGTTGTGCTATCCTACAAATCTTCCACACTCTAGGTGTTTCAAGAGAGTACCTTGTGGCCTTTTAAACTTGAGAGCAGGCGGAGGCGGACGAAAGGTAGTGTAGTGGGAGAGGAGTGGTGTCAAAATGCTGCGCCCCTAAGATGATACACCAAAAACGTTTTTGCGCAGTCTAAGATGATTTTATCCAGAGCATGACTGCATGATACGGTGTCTTGTGCAGCGTGAAATGATGCACGAAAAGTGGTTTATTTAAAACCCCTTTTTAAGACCCCTTGCAGCAACTGTTATTGAGGCTGAAGCAAACCAATTATGCTGGACTACAGGGACATCTCCCTCATGGAGAGTGTGCCTCTACTGTGGCGGACCGTGACCGCGTCACCCGTGGGAATTGAACCCATGACCATTTTAGCGGGGGAGGGGCCCTCTTATAATTGATATCTAATACATAACGTCGAGAATTCTACGTTTTCCACGGGCTGGCCCCCCCAATACCCCCTATGATTGTGCTGAAGCACGGAGAACTCAGGTAGCTGACGCTACCTTTCGTGACTTTTATCCATTGCAAGTGGTCAAATGTGTCATATCTGTTGGATCCCCTCTGTGCCCAGAAACGTATGCAGAATCCACCTTGAGTTCCATCTTCAAGACCTCGGTCAGGGGCTCCAAAGCTGAGGGATCCCCCAGGGGTGCTGTTGACTGGAAACAAAACAGCTGACTGGAAATAGCCTCCCAACTGGTCAAGCCAAAAGAACCGAAACGGAAACACAGCTGGAAAAACCATTTGTACTCCTGGTTTATGACCTGCATCTAACAGAGGCCAAGCTACAAAGTCACTCAATTTCCTCAAGCCGTTGGCCACTCGCGAGCCCATGATCGCCTCACATCGTGACATGGAACCATTGAACCTTGGCAATTTCCAACAAAACCAATCCGGGTAAGGATCAAAATTTTGACCGTCTCGGCATCCGAAAATTCCCTGTCCCACCAAATCCCACCTTGAAAGCGAAAACGCAGGCCGGCACCAACAATAAAATCACCTAAGGTGAGTGCGGATTTACCCCGGTTTGTGGTAGTTTCAATGAAGAAAATGATGATATTCCATTGTGTTCTTGGTTGTCCACAAAAGGACAATTAAAAGTTATTTTTCATGACCCTCATGGCCGACGCAATCAGTTCTCCGGAGAAATCGGAGTTCCACAAATAGACATGACATTGGCCTTGCAGAAGTCTGGCACGAAGTCAAGAAGAAAATGACTACAGTGACTACAGGTGCTCGTTTTTGTCACCAAGGAACGCCATACCATAAGACCACTTTCCGAAGCTCTGGTTGCACTTTTGGGTTGTCGCTCCGCAGAAAAGCCTCGGATGTGCCCAGTTGATCTGTATGTGTAGGATGTGCGGCCACTAGATGTGCTGGGCCCGCCATTGGCGAGTGATGGGGACCACGTCTTCCCTCTCTTTCGGAAGTTTTCTCCATGCAAGCTGATGGGACTTCCCGGATTCCTCAACCCAGGTGGTGCATCCCTGACCTCTTTGTGTCCTAGATTTGGCCCCAATGAACAGCCAAGGGCCCAAGTCAACATCCAGGTCAAGGAGCAAACAACAGAAGGGCCCAGAGCAGAGCGGCAAAGAAGTAGCATAAGGGGACACGCCAATGGCAACCACCATCCTCAACCGCGCTGGGTGAAAGCGGAAAGCTGGTGTCCAGGATGGGTGCAAAAATGGTGAAAATCGCTCTAACTTTCTAGTCAAACCCCCTAAGAAATTGTCCTAGAGCTGGATGGTTTCAGATCCAGGTTTAAATCATAACAGCCTTTTGAATCGCTCTGAGGAGTCGACATCATCTTCCACCAGCTCCAGCTTGCTGGCCTGTGACCATGGGAAAGTATACAGGCTGTTGCTTCTTCATATGTTTTTGGGGATCTGACCGATCTGACCTAATACAAATACAACGGGTTTATCAGTTTATCTCATTGAGTTGGTTACGTATCCCACGAAATCCCACTATCATCCCACTTTTTCTGCCGAGCCACACTGGTGTCCGACCACACCGTCGCGGCCCGCGCGCCGCCGGCAGATGGCACGCTGTCCTCGTTCCATGCAGTGGCTGCCCGTGCGCCGCCGGCGGAGGGGATGCTATTGCTGGTGGGTGACCGGGTGGGTGACCTCGTGGGTGACCTGCACCAATTGCCGGACTGCTGTCATTGCTGTCATTGCTGTTGGCCAAAAAACGACCTTTTTTCATCCGAAACTTGAAGAAGATCTGTCGACATTGGGCTTCAGGCCACTGGCTGGTCAACTTCTTCAGTTGCATGCTGTTCTGTAGGCACATCAGAAAACAAAAACAGCTCGGGAGCAAGTGGCCCCTACTATAGCTCTAACTGATCCCACCTGGGAGTCTCAGGTTCTGAAGTGGCCTCCAGCTGCAAGGTGCCAGACCTGCCAGGCACTGGCTGAAAGACAGATTCTGGGCGGAAAGCAACGAACACCAACGAGCTATTGAAGATTATAATACAGTAGAAGTAGAAGAACCGACAAGATTGATTTCCAGATGCTTGGGTGATGTTTAGTTAGGGCATCTCACCATGTCTGACAGGCTTTAGTGCAATGGTAGCTTTCGATGTCTCCGGAGCTGGTGGGTCTGCTGGAAGGACGGTGGCAACGAACATTCTGACGCCCAAAGCAGCGACCTTTTCATGGGGACATTCATTAAGCCATGGTCACATGCAACTCATTCTGCTCGTTTCAGTAGAGTGCATTGCCACACTGACCCGAGCCCACGAAGTTGCCAAGGGCAAAGCGACTGGCCGGTGGACCCGGCACGGTTGGCGGGCCATACATCTGCTTCATGTAGTGATTAGTCATGGGATATGGTGCGGTTGGCATGCCATTCACCACCATGGGGTGACCCATGGCACCTATGGGTGGTGCCAACAGTTGGCCTTGAGAGCCATGGATCCCAAACATCTGCTGCCCTGGGCTCAGGTGTAGCCTGGCCGGCTGACTGCTGGGAGGCGGGGCGGACATAGGCCCTGCAGCCTTCCAGTCTATGTCACTGCTCTCATTGGGGTGGAAAGTGGGCTTCACGGCATCGCCTGACTCATCGTCGGACTCATGGGAGGCCACGCAACAGCTGTTGAAATTGAAGAGACCACCATCAAACACACTGCTGGGCGAGTTGAATCTGAAGGGCCAAGCGGCTGCCGGCTCAGGTTCCCAGAGCTTCTGCAACTCCTCAGTCCATTCCACCACCTCTGCCACCACACAGGAGGTGTCATCCTTCTTCCCGCCGCGGCCAATGGGAGCTTCAGGGAGCAGGCCATTGACCATGGGCCGCGTCTTCGCATGGCATTGCTCCACAATGCGCTGAGCTAAGCCACGCAGTTGCGCCTCGGAGTACTGGGGCCCACTGGAAGCTGAGGGCAGAAGCGTCCGGTTCGCCAGTTCCTGAGCCACATCAGCAATCCAATCATTTTCTTTCCAACCACACTGTGCACCAGGATGGCCTAAAGCCGTAGGTCTACTAATAGTCTCAGCACTGGAGACCCTTGAAACGAAGTCCCACATTACTTTCTGACCTTGAAGCTGCCAAGGATCTAAGAGTTCATCCAAGAACAGATTGTCAAAAACACCATCACCTGAGGCTTCATTTCTTGGGGTCGAAACCATTGAAATGGGGATTTAATGGTGAGAGAACCAACGAAATTCCGTGAATACAATAAGTGGTGGCATTGCGGTATTGCCCTACGACCCAAGAAAGCCCAAGGAGATCATGAGCGCAAAGAATTCGTGGTCAATAATGGTTGAAATTAACGATGGGATGCTTCAAAAATGGGAACTGCTGAAGGTGTACTGTTTTTGTCGGCCCAAGTGAAAAATCAAAATTTTAAGAGCTGACAGCGCGCCAAAGCAAAAGAAGGATCACTGCCCATGATCACAACGTCACCTTCATACGCAGAGACGCAGTGAACAGCACTACCTCTCTCGATGACTTCTATGGTCAGCCCTTCGTGGAAGTTAGGATCGATCCTGCAGGGTCTGAATCTCTGCAGGTCCAACCATCCAACCTCTTTGGAGCCACCCTGTTCCAAAACGCCAGTCGCAGCCAAATCAGCCAAATGTGCATCTTCTATTTTTTTGGTCTCCCCATGGAATTTTTGTTTGGATCCAAAATCTTCAATCGGCAAGAAATCCAATTTCACCAGATATCATTTCACCAAGTTTTTGGATCCAAAATCTTCATTCAATCTGCAAGAAACCAAACATTTCCCCAAATATCCCATACACCCCGTGGTCTTGCCACGGTGCCTATCATCCACCCTGGCCAGCTGCAGAGGTGTCTGGGCATGGCCATCGATGCGCTGCATCTCGGTGTGACACACCAATTCCAGCACGGCGCGGGGCCCTTTCACCTGCGGAACATGTGGCGTTCTGGGTGGTGCTTCTGTATATATACATACATACAAGAATCCACACACACATACATGACATGACATGACCTGGCATTACATTACATTACCTTAACTTACATTACATTCTACACACACACACATATATATATATATATATATACACGTATATGTATATGTATACGCATATGCATATGTATATGTAAATTTAAATGTATTTGCATGCATGCATGCATGCATGTGTGTATGTATGTATGTAAGTATGTAAGTATGTAAGTATGTAAGTATGTAAGTATGTAAGTATGTATGTATGTATGTATGTATGTATGTATGTATGTATGTATGTATGTATGTATGTATGTATGTGTGTATGTGTGTATGTGTATGTATGTATGTATGTATGTATGTGTATGTATGTATATGTATGTATGTATATGTATGTATGTATGTATGTATGTATATGTATGTATGTATATGTATGTATGTATGTATGTATGTATCTATTTGCATACATATATATATATATATTTATTTATATTTATGTATGTATGTATTTATCTATTTGCAAATATATATATATATATGTATGTATGTATGTATGTATGTATGTATGTATGTATGTATGTATGTATGTATGTATGTATGTATGTATGTATGTATGTATGTATGTATGTATGTATGTATGTATGTATGTATGTATGTATGTATGTATGTATGTATGTATGTATGTATACGTATGTACGTATGCACTTATGCACGTATGTACGTCTGTACGTGTGTACGTATGTACGTATGTCAACGTATGTCAACGTATGTCAACGTATGTCAACGTATGTACGTATGTACGTATGTACGTATGTACGTACGTATGTATGTATGTATACATATGTATACATATGTACACATATGTATCTATATAAAAATATAAATATAAATATATATATATAAATATATGATTATATGTGTGTGTCTGTACCTATATCTATCTTTAATATATATATATATATGTGTGTGTGTGTGTGTTTGTGTGCGTGTGTTTGCATATGTTGCACATGGATACAAATAAATACATGTATATATTGCATATACTTTCATTTAAACATGTATATATTATGTTTTTAGATGTTATAAGTTATAAGCTATAACTCTGTTTTTCAGCATGAGGGATTGTTGGAATTCATATAGCTCCAAACCACGGTTTTGTATCTACGGACTAAATTGTCTACCCCAACCTCAGCGCCCAAAAATCCCATGCTTTATCATTATGTTCCCTATTAAAACTGCAATTTTGAGGTGAACCGCAAATCATGTTCAAATCTCCCAGCACAACTCACAGCACGAGTCACCCGACGAAGCACCAAGAGCTCGCAATCTCCAACTGTGATGATGGCGATCATGGGATGCAACTTCCCATGGATTCGGGTGGAATTGTCCTTCAGCAAACATCGCTGGGCTGGCAGAGAGAGAGAGAGAGAGAGAGCAAGCAAAGAAACACGCTGATGAAAATTGATCTAATCAACCCAAAAAAACGAATGACAGTTTTTCTGAAGCAAATTGAGCGAGCCATCACTGCTAACACCACCGTCAAAGAGCCCAAGGACTCTGTCGCTTCGAAGGCTCTTCGTAGCATCGAGACCGGGCCACGGTAGGTGTCCGCCGCGGGCAATTTGGCTCCGGGGATCAACTGATGCATGCCCAGTTGCTCTACCTGGAGATGGCTTCATAGTCGAAATGACCAAGATCTATCAAGATCTGTGATATGTACGGCTTCTTCTTGAGCCACATGAACCTAGTGACCTATTGGCTAGACTGTACAAAACACGCACACACACAGAGATGTGTATATATATACACATATGTATGGGTAATATACATATATATATATATACATATGTACATATATATATATAGATACATTACATTACATTGCATTGCATTACATTACATTACATTACATTATATTACATTACATTACATCATATACATTACATTTCATACATACATACCTATATATATATACATCAGCATGCCCAGCCAAGCAATCTGTTGGGGCAGGGTCAAACGCCCAAAGAAATAGCTGGAAAGGTGCTGCCGAGGTGCTATATGAAGGAGCTCATTTGGAAGCATCGATGCATCAATGCCAAAATCCTCAATTTGCGAGACGCCATCCGCCACACCGAGAACCATTGGCACGGTCAAACAAGCATCCGCGTCCTGCGAGCCAATGGGGATGAGGAAAAAATGCAATCCTGGTTATTTGGTGGCAATGCCTTCCCCAAAAATGCGACAAGTCAAGCCGGACCCGTTTTGCCGGTCCTTATGACCCTTCTGGGCTTTCACTGGATGAGTTTTCTGATAGGAACAGGCATTGAAGCACAGCGGTTTGTTCTTGTGATATGCCTCAGCCAGCTGCTGCTCCCGTCGCTTGAACTCGTCCAGGTTCTTCCGCTGCCGCTCCGCACCCACCAGGAAGGTGGGCGAGCGCAGCATGCCATCCGCCATGGCCGGCTGGCGCACGGCCGCGGCCGGAGGTTTTTTGGAGCCAAAATGGCTTTGACCATGTTGGAAACGCTTGGAGTTGGAGGAGAACACCAGGAAAAGTGATTTTCGATTTTGGGGGGCATATTCCGTGTCCTGAGAGTTTTGCACTGCAAGTTATTTCCGATTCTTTCACCTTGGTTTCACTTGGATGATGATGCTTTGGCAGAAGTATCCCAAACAAAAACGATTGACGCCGTTGTGGTGATGCCATTGGATCTGCGTTTCCCCAAGCCACCCTTTGGACCTCAAGGACGTGTAGCTGTAGGTCCCATCCAGCCATGGCAGCGAAGCGCTCACAGATTGCATGGGGCCCCAATGATGGGTTCCCCAATTGCTGGTTGCCTTGAACAGTGGCTGTTAGCGCCTTGGCTATCTGAAGAGTGGCACCCCCACTGGGCCTTCAATGGCAGGCACTTTGTATGACAATAGCTGTGGCTTCAGCAACTTAGATGGGTCTTGGAGTCGTGGATTGTCTAATGTGGAAACTGCAGCTGTGCAGCAATACCGAACCCATGCAAATTGATCCTCTCGTGCATGGAAGTGATCTTTCTCAATGATATGCCAAGAGAATCTTGCTCTTTATTTCAAAAAGTCCTGAGAACGAGGACCGTGGCAGTGTGATGGAATAGGGCAGAACAAATGCCATTGGTACATCCCAAGTACCAAAAATTGCCAAAATGTGTGGCTTCATGGGTTGCTCCAAAAATGGCAGGAGTGGACCGGGTGCCCGGGCAATGGTCGCAGCGGGCGTCCAACACCTCCCGGGGCAAAATTCTCCCAGCTTTGCAACCAAGCAGCAGTAAAGGGTTCAGGTTCCAAGGTCAGGGTTCCAGATTTCCATTCCGGTTTTGCGTGTTTTGCATCCGTTGATGCACCAGTCCCAAAATGTCCGAAATGGGAGAACGCGTAAGGTCCACGGTGTCCATTCTCGGACAATTCTCTACGTGGAAGGTCCGATTTCATGTTCGATTGGGACTCCAAGCTATGCAGACGTGCCGGTGTGTCTGAAAGTTGGCGTTCTCCCCGAAAATTTGATGCTCCCTCCATAGGATTTTGGGTTCCATATGTAGGGACATCCCCATCACTCTGAGTTCCACGCGAGGAGGTCGGACCATGGCTCTGAACCGGCGGCTGTTTCTGTTCCACGCTGAGCCGTACCGGCTGCGAACACACGCAGCAGATGCAATCTGCCTCCACCTGTCGTTCTGCAGCAGAGTGGAAAATATATGGTTCAGAAATCATGAAATGTCCCAGTTGAACATCACCCAGGCAGGAGAGATGATCTCCGGTCAAAGCTCCGCATCCTTTGACCACCTGTGAGCTGAACACTTTGCAGCTTGCAAGTGGCATCCTCAGCTGCAGAGACTTAAGATCTGTCAGGATGAGCCCATTTGAAACTGCAACAGTTCTAGGTAAATCGTGCCAAGAGACCTTTGGGCTGCACGCAACAGCAGGTCATTGAAAGCCTTGGTTGAAACTAAAAGATTCAAAATTGTGAAGCCCGAAGGTTCACTGGGGTTGCTTCAGGGTCCCAGGGCATTTTATGTTTTGCCATGGGTCCTGTGGAATTTAAACCAATTCTGGCAAGAATTTGGCTGAGTTTGCTGAAAATCCCGGTTCTGTCATTTCGGCTTGACACCGCCCTCAACCCCTGGTTTCCACTCAATTCTTCCCATTCTTCCCTCAACGTGAAAAAGGTGAAACCAAAATTTCAGCCAAGAAGCCGAGCGAAGCCTGGCGCGATAGGCAGAGGCCAACGTGTACTCCAGAAGGCACGCAGCGCCCCTGCTCACCGAGGATGTGGGATCAATGCACCAACGATGATGGGGGTGAAATAAAACGTTCAACTGCAGGGGGTGCTCCAAAAAGGTCATAACTAATGTGCGACTAAAATGGTTGTGCGACTAAAATGGTATCCAAAAAATACCATCCTGATTTGAGAATGAAAATGATACCCATGATCCCATGATTCTTGATGGACATGTAACATGATTACCATCATTTTGGGATGTTCTTTGATAATCTTCATGATCCCTGACAACCAGTGGACACCCCCCCCTTCTGGATGGTTGTTTCCAAGTCAGCTCGTCAGCTCGCCTGTCCAAGCGCCACTTCAGCAGACTCAATCCATCCTGACCAATCCCCTCAGCGGAATCCAGTGAAAGGCTATTAAGGTGTGTCTGAAAATGGGGATGCCGTCGGAGATAATGATGATGAACAATTGGATTTGGGGGCACCCTATTCTCAAACAAACCCATATCTATAAATATATATATATATATGTATATACATCATCTTTAGTGCCCAACCAAAAGCAGATCCAGCTGCTTTATGTCATCATTCACCCACATGAATTGGAACAATGATGGATTTTTGCTTCTGGTTCCCCTTCTGAACCATCATGCCATGGTGACATCATGGCAGAATTACGCTTAGTCCATCATGCTGCTTGCATGTCCCCAGAGCCCCTTCCATCAAATCCATGTTCCCTGCCCCACATCATCTATGTATTAGTATGCACTATGCTTGTCCACATTTGGTAACCTTTTGAAGGGAACTATAAATCTAATGTAGACGTAGACTGTATATAAACATACAATACCAATGCCATATCAGCTACTCTCCAGCACCATAGCATGATACAGTGCCTCATCAAGCACGGGGCTGTGAACCTGCCACAAGGCTCCCATGTTGGCAACGTGTGAAAAAAGAAACTACCTATTAATTGAATTTGTGGTCCACTCCGGTGTTTAAAAAGTCTTTTTTTTGAGAACAACCTTTGCAGCAACAGAACAGGCCTCGTTTTTCACGCCGCTGCAGCGATATGCAAAGTCTGCCTGGGACTTATGCGAACGGCGGATGGGGCGACAAGCTACTCCTAGTGAAAATGCCCCCCAATCCAGCAGAAGCGAAACTTCAAGAAGATTGGGGGAGGTGCCCTGTCCTTCTTGTAGGAAGACCGGAAAAATCTTATGAGTTACGGCTACATTAAAACCAAATATCTCTATATAGATATACCTAGCACTGCAGCCAGCTATCTATCATGATCCAACCTGTTCTCCGTGAATTCGCGTTGGTTATCGGCTGCTTTGGCCTTCTGCTACGCAACTCCACAGTTGTGATTCTCCTTCAAACGTCTCAGATATCAGATTCTGCCATCTCCTTCAAACCTCTTCGATCATCTTAGAAAGTCTTAGATCTTTGAATTCGTACGAAGCTTCTTCGCAACCGCTTCCGCCATCTGCATGGTTCCAGCCTTGCCCCCTAAATCCGGAGTGGTTTCGCCCTCACGGATGGTCGCCAAGGCAGCCTCCAGGCGTCTGGCCGCTTCCACCTCCCCCAAGTGGTCCAGCATCATCGAAGCGGACAACAACATGGAGGTTGGATTCACAATCCCCTTGCCTGCGCCATCCAACCCCAAGCCACCAGAATGCAATCAAACCGAAGTCAAACCGAATTAAACTCAAACACCTTGAAGTGATTCTTGAAATATCACACAACATCAACAAATACAATGATATATATATATGTATATGTCTGATATATATGTGTATATATATATATATACATGTAATAAATATATATATATGTAATATATATATATATGTGTGATATATATGTAATATATATATATATATATGTAATATATATATATATATGTAATATATATATAGTTTGTAATATATATATATATGGTTTGTAATATACATATACATATAATATGTAATATATATAAATATGTAATATATATATGTAATATATATATAATATTATATATGTAATATATATATATATATGTAATATTTATATATATATATATGTAATATATATATATATGTGTGTGTAATTTAAATATATATATATATATACATATGTGTATATAAAGAAAATATAAAGAAAGACGATCCCTGGCATGGCCTGCAATGTCTGGCGCACTGCCATGCGCCGGTTCAAAGATGGCTACCCCTTGGTCTCCATACAGCGCTGATGGTGCCAAGCCAAGGCCCCCAACCAAGCCAGCCGCCAGGTCGGAGACTAAGTCACCATACAAATTCTCACATAAAATCACATCCCACCGGCCTGAGAAATCAGGGAATGGAAAAGGATGTTCGAAAAGGAAGGAAATTATGCTGTAAAAGAGGCAAAATGTATCAAAATGCTGGCAAATCTGTTTGCAAAACTGGTTGTACTTAAACCACCGCCCTCTCTTAGTCCGATAGCTCCTGGATGCATGACCATAGCAGTTAGCAAAGAATCGCAGAGTTGCTCAGTGTACTGGATCTGAGGATAGGCTGCTGAAACCTCCCTGCAACAGTTCAAGAACAAGGTGTCTGAGAGTCGCAGCACATTGGCCTTATGCGCCACCTGAAATGATCCAGGTGATAAGGGGGTCCCACCCCAAAAATGTGCATATAATATTCAGTGTGCAAACGGATGATGCTAATTGATGTTTGATATTCGTACTGTTCATACAGGTGCCATACCTCATATCTCTCTGTACATAATTACATACATCATATTTCTAACCATGCATAATCATAAAAATAAACATAATTATAATACAAATAATAGCATTGGCATTAACAATAATAATAATAATAGTTACCAGTAGTACCGCACAAGGTGGTGGCGGAAGTTTCAAAAATAGGAAACCTATAGGAGAGCTTGGTTGTTGTGAATCACGAATGGCAGGGCGAATCCACTGATGGACCGAAAGATGGTTGGAGTTGTGTTTTTTGAAGCGGCTGCAATGGTTGCAGTGGCCACCTCTTCCTCAACTGCTTGATGTAGTGTGGTGTGGTGTAGCGCAGTTGTAGTCATGAACTTCCACACTACCCCGGGCAGTACTACCCTAAGAGAATTTTAGATAGTAAATAAGAAAACGGGTTTGTATCCCCTGATTTTTCAAGAAATAATTAGTAGCCTAATAAGGAAAATGGGGTGGATACAAACCAAAACTAATTAGTAGCCTAATAAGAATTGATTTTGGCATTTTGTATAAAACTTATTAGCATGCTAATAAGGAAAAAAATCCTTATTAGCATGCTAATAAGATTTATACAACTTCTTTGTATAAAATCTTATTAAGGGCCTAATAAGGATTTGTTTCCTTAATAGATGCCTAATAAGATTTTACACAAAATTGACGGGGTATATTTTTGTATAAAATTTTATTAGGGTCCTAATAAGGAATTTTTGCCTTAATAGATGCCTAATAAGATTTTATACAAAATTGACAGGGATGATTTTTGTATAAAATCTTATTAGGGTCCTAATAAGATTTGTGGCCTTAATAGATGCCTAATAAGATTTTATACAAACTTGACGGGTATGATTTGTGTATAACAGCTTTTTAGGGTCCTAATAAGATTTTATACAACATTGTGGATATCAACTATAGTGTTTGCCCTTTTTTATTTTTGTTACAAAAGGAGTTTTTCTTTACCATTTTACATTTTTGTTGTATGTTTGTTTTCCTCTGTTGTGATCCCCTGTTGTCTCTCCCCAGTTGTGTCTCCCCTTTCCTTCCCCATTGAACCTCCACTTTACAAATGAAAACAAGAAATTGCAAAAAAAATACTGAAAATACACATACCAAAACATTTAAAGTATATTTAAAAAAAATCTATACTTCAAGATGTAGAAAAGCTTCAAAAGCTTCGAGTTTAAAATTTATAAAAGTGACATTTCTCATTTTGCATCATTTTCCCGTTGTGGTTCCCTGTTGTAACTCCCTGTTGTGCTCAGCCATGGCTCCCCAGCTCCGTAGCTCCGTGCCCAAAACGGTGACATGTCCTCCGGGTCCTCGGCAGACCTCGGCCTGGCAGGCTCTCGGCAGAGCACAACAGGGAGACACAACGGGAGAAGAAGAACGGGAAAATGATGCAAAATGAGAAATGTCACTTTTATAAATTAAAAAAAAGAATTTCTATGAATAAATTATGCCCACAATGAGGTTTAAAACATTCAGTGGGTCATCAAGGTATTGGAATGAAAAAAGAATGTCTCTATGAATGAAAAATTTTGAGTCAATCCACCCACAATGAGGTCATTAATTTTGAGGAATGTTTTTTTTTTCAATTCATTGTCAATGTATTGGAATGTATTGAAAGAAATTTTTATTTTTTTCAAACCATTTTTTGTCAAAATATTTTGAAAAATGAGATTTCTATTCATAAATTCAATCCACAATGAGGTTTAAAACATTCAGTGGGTCATTCTCAAGGTATTGGAATGAAATTTTGAAAGTTTTTTTTTCAAACCATTTTTTGTCAAAATATTTTGAAAAATGAGATTTCTATTCATAAATTCAATCCACAATGAGGTTTAAAACATTCAGTGGGTCATTCTCAAGGTATTGGAATGAAATTTTGAAAGTTTTTTTTTTCAAACCATTTTTTGTCAAAATATTTTGAAAAATGAGATTTCTATTCATAAATTCAATCCACAATGAGGTTTAAAACATTCAGTGGGTCATTCTCAAGGTATTGGAATGAAATTTTGAAAGTTTTTTTTTCAAACCATTTTTTGTCAAAATATTTTGAAAAATGAGATTTCTATTCATAAATTCAATCCACAATGAGGTTTAAAACATTCAGTGGGTCATTCTCAAGGTATTGGAATGAAATTTTGAAAGTTTTTTTTTTCAAACCATTTTTTGTCAAAATATTTTGAAAAATGAGATTTCTATTCATAAATTCAATCCACAATGAGGTTTAAAACATTCAGTGGGTCATTCTCAAGGTATTGGAATGAAATTTTGAAAGTTTTTTTTTTCAAACCATTTTTTGTCAAAATATTTTGAAAAATGAGATTTCTATTCATAAATTCAATCCACAATGAGGTTTAAAACATTCAGTGGGTCATTCTCAAGGTATTGGAATGAAATTTTGAAAGTTTTTTTTTCAAACCGTTTTTTGTCAAAATATTTTGAAACATGAGATTTCTATTCATAAATTCAATCCACGATGAGGTTTAAAACATTCAGTGGGTCATTCTCAAGGTATTGGAATGAAATTTTGAAAGTTTTTTTTTCAAACCATTTTTTGTCAAGGTTTCGGCTGAGGGAATAAGGGTGCCCCCCGGTCGCTCAACCTTAGCGGCTTGCCATAAGCCGCGGGCATTGCTTTGCGCGCTTTGCCTTCAAGCACAGCTGCCTTCGATTCTTCGTGCACTGTGTGTTCTGGGGTCCCAGCCCCGTAAAATTTCCTGGGTGCAAGGGCTACGTATTGGCTTTGTGGTTCAGTTTGACCTCGTCCTGCTCCACATCCCGATTGACTAGCCGTTGCGTCTGCTGAAATGGTTTTGCCCTGGCAGTCGCAATACAACACAATATTTCTTTTTATTTGACAACGCTGTGGTTGCGTATCATTTCTGGGTTCTGCAGTGTCCCGAACACTGGGGTATTTCTGGGTTCTGCAGTGTCCCGAACACTGGGGTATTTGTAGTTGGACTTCACCATTGCCCTTATTTTTGTGTATGCTCCAATTCATTGCCCTGCTTTTCCAGATCTTCTACGTGATTCAGGTTGACATCCATTACGACGAAAGATACACATCGTCGTGCCCAGCGTCGTTCCCGAGCCAAAGCACGGCTGGACTGGCACCTTTTTTGCAAGGGCTTCAAGGAGCTCACTACTGGACGTCTCCAGGCTATCAGACAGGTTTTGTCGACACACCATTCTCGAGACCCTGTGTTTTTGCGTCGCATCACAGCAGTTGCAATGGCCAATGTCGAGACAGATCCCTGGAGATGCGGGTGGTGCTGGCGCCCATGCAAGCACAGTCACCAGCGCTGTCCCGATTGTGGGAGTTGGTGGACAGAACGAGATCAGTCCTTTGTGCATCAGCCTCGTGGTTCAGGAAAGAGCCCTCGACGTCGGACCTCTGGTTGGACCAACGACCAAGAGAGCCAATGGGAAGGCGATTGGCAAGGATGGGAAACCGAGTGGGAGACGCAGCCTCCACATCGACCTGCCTCGCTAAGACGCAGTCACAGCAAAGGCCGAAAAGGCAAGGGCAAGACCAAGAACAAGGGCAAAGGCAAAGGGAAAGTTCCCCAAGGACCAGCAGAACCTCAATATGGCCCTGCAGCTTTGGGAATTACTTTACCCGAACCTCCATGGAAGCCTTCCCTCAATGCTCTCCCTGCGGCCTCGGGCTCTGCCGGGACCATTTCGGATGCACAAATTCGAGGCTTGCTGAACGACATGAAGAAAGTGCCAGATTTGCCAGCAGATGCTCATACCATCCTGCAGCGCTATCAGAAGCGCCATGGCCAACGCACCACCAAAACGATGCACCAAGCGGTGACAGATCTTGGAAAAGCTCGCGAAGCTCTCGATCAAGCTCACCTTGCACGCCATCAGCTTCATGGGTCTTGGCGTCATTTTTTGAACGAGGCCTTGACTACTTGGCAAACCTACACCGAGGGATTCAAGTAGCAGGAAGCCGATTTGGTGGCGCGCATCGAAGAGGCCAAGCAGTGTCTTCACAGTGCCAAGGAAGTCTTCGAAGAGTGCAGGAATGCCCTGACGGACTTGAATCAGACCGATCAACGTCTTGTCGAAGATGCAGAGGCAGTGATGACCGTCGATGCCGAGGACGAGAAAGAAGATCCAGCAGTGGCAAGGCTGCAGATGGATCTAGAATCCATGCAAGGTCACTTGACCACTCTCAAGCAGAATGCAGAAGTGTCTGCCGCAGCTGCCGAGACCTCTGCAAAGCGACCTCGGATCGAAGAAGCTGTGCCAGCAGTTGGTACGGCAGCGCCTGGCTCTGCTGCCTTGGAGCCTTTTGGTGGGGCCCGCAAGTAGCGTCTGCCTCGCAGAGCCCTTGCGATGGCCAATTGGTCATTGGAGTTGGCCATGCAGCCACGTTGGCATGGACACACTCCATTCTTTCTGAACCCAACTTTCAATCGGTGTGGCAAGCCTCATTTCGAGCTCTTTGCTTGTCCTTTGATCTTGGCACATTGCAGCCCCAACCACATCATGATGTTGTGCGCACCACCTCACGCCCTGCTGTGGGCAGCAGACGACAGGTGAGGTTCAATCCCAACGTTTCTGTTGCGCTTGGCCTTGATGATGCTTGGAGCTTGCAAAGTTTTCCCATTCATGAGTCCGTTTTGCATGACTGGCCTGACAAGCCTTGGAACGCCTGCCATACGCCTATACCTCATGCCCTTCGGATTGCTGATGAACGAATTGACCCTCTTCAATATATTCATACCAATGATGCACAAGGTGCACAGCAACCTGCCCCACAAGCTGGACCGTTCCTCCATGAAGCTCCTCAATCCATTCAAGATCTCTTTGCTGCGTTTTTGGAAGAGGACCTCATTGAAGGCGAAGAACTTTATGAGGA